TAGTTAGATACTACGAATTGTGTGTGTTTTCTTTAAGAGTCCGTTTGGTATGCAGAATTCACGGAATTGGAATTGAAATTCCATGGAATTCATTTCCATAGAATTGAATTTTGTGAATTCTAATTCATTTTTTGCACTATCAATTCCAAATCCACATAATTTTTGTGCTACCAAACACCGGAATTGGAATTGATCCAATTCCATAGTTTGAATTCCATATACCAAACGGAGCCTAAAATCTTATTGATTTTGACTAATGAAAATTATGAGGCTGGTGGGGCCGGCATTCCGCAATGCTTGATCAGCATTTCAACACGTTTTTAATCCTCTCTATATATGCTTCACGAGCTAAACATAGACCCAACAACCTCTGCGTAATTAAGGTAAGAAATTGATAATTTGATATTAAATGACACCTTAAAAATGGTAGGAGTTGTTAACTGTCCTCATCAATAATTGTTAAGAAACAACTCAATCAAAAACATAACTTTGCACTTAGTTGTTTAAATTAGGCGGCAATTAATTTTGATTCTTCACTTCTATGTCAACAATATTCTAATACCATATCAATGAACACACATAACCAAAAGCTCGTACTTGTGATTGTAAGCCCATGAATTTTTTTTATATTCTAATAACAATATCTCACAAAAGTATAAAACCTCACCTGGTAAAAAGATAAAAGTTGATACAGGTAAAAAAAGTTAATTAGTAACACATGAATTTTAATTAATATGAAGTCGGTTAAGTTATTTTAATGTTTTTCTTGAAGGTTACTCATCTTGTCTCAAGTTAATCTTATCTATCTTCAAGAACTTAAATTTGTATGTTTTTGTTGATCATTTCATAAAATAATCTTCTTACCTCTTGTTTTGTAGCTTTTTTTAATATAGTTTTGAATGGTGCTATTTGTAACTTTAATTTCTGTACTAATTTCTAAATAAAACTATTTCAAAAGAGATAATATTTTACATATTTTTTCTAAACAAAAAGAATAAAGTGAGACAAAGGGAGTATATTGTAACAATCGTCCAATTTGAAAACCTTAGAGTGCTTTAATATGATCGCAAAATTTATACTCCATTCGCCCGGAAATGTTCTTTTACTTAACTTTTCACGATCTCCTAAATTGCACGTTGGCCACTCGTGTCTTTACTTATACATATATATATTTTATAAAAATTTGAAATTTGAAAACTACGTTTCAATATAAATATATTGATATTAAAGTTATGTCGTGTTAGAGTATATATAACAATCATTCCAAGGCCACAATCACAAGCTTGAGTTTTTGGTTGAGTTGGTTCCTTGACATGGTATCAGAGCCTTGATGACCAAGAGGTCACGAATTCGAAACTCACCGCTCCCCAGTTTAAAAAAAATTAAGGTTTCACGTGCAAGGCTTAAAGATGTCACGCCTGCACGTGAGGGGGCGTGTTAGAGTATATATAACAATCATTCCAAGGCCACAATCACAAGCTTGAGCTTTGGGTTGAGTTGGTTCCTTGACATGTCGGAATATAATATATATGTTCCACGTATCGAAGTAAAAATTTACAAATTTTTATGAAGAAAATATAAATGAGAAAAACATTTTTGGATCGACTTTTTTTATACTAAGGCTATCCTCAATCTTCCTACCTCCCACCTAGCCCACTTGTTCCCCTATTGGGGGAATGGGTAGTTGTGTGTATGTATCACTAGTTTTAAATGGAGTATTGTACAAAAGGGTCGTAATTTGAGCGAGTGTTAAGATATGGAGTGTTTATTTTGATCCACATTGGGTGCATATGATTTTTGTGGACCTTATCACATAAAAAAATCTATTTTTTGTACTTTTTTATTAAAAAAACATATGGTTATTTAAGTAGTAAATAAACACTTATTTTACTCATATGTAGGTCCACGGTGGACCTTAGGTCCATCAAAAAATTTGGAGTAATTTACCTAAATAAGACTAAAACATAATGACTTTCTCAATATAGTACCATATATTTTTATTTCCCAATGTAGGACCATTGGTCATATTGTCATAATTAATTAGTCATTATTCAATTAAATGTCCAGCATCACTTGGACACTATTCTTCTCACTAGACATTAGTAAGTCCTATTTAGAGAATAAAAAAGTTTAAGTTCTACATTGGAAAATAACTTATGTTTTAGTCCTATTCAGTGCAAATTTCACAAGAATTTGTGTGATACTGAGTGTCAAAATAAGAGTTTTTTGGGTGTTATTTTTGTTATCTAATTTGTGTGTATAAGATCATCTCCAACCACACTTACTAAAGTCATTTTTTAGCATGTGAAAAGTGGTATAGCAAGCCATTTTGCATTGTCATCAACAACCTTCTCTTGCTATAATTTAGCAAACACTAGTTGTATATTATTTTGTTTTCTATATTATAGTACACTATTTATAATAATTTTTAAAATTTATTATTTTATGTTATAAAAATTAAATAATACTCTATACGTATGCAATTTAAAAATAATAGTTTAAAATAAAATAATACTCGTACTTTTTTGTAATATGTAATATAATGTTTTTGGCTTGCTAACCCAATCAGCATTTTTCTTTTTCTTTTTGGTTTGCTATATCTTACCAAGATTGTTATTAATAGCAAGTCATTTTCATTTTCTAGCAAGTTTGTCAAAAATTGGCAAGCCCTTGGAGCATGAAACTTTGCTTGGCTTGTCAAATTATGGTCATGTTTGGAAAACAGCATTTGTGATAGCTTTTGGCATTTTTGACTGACTTTGGCTTTTTTGACCGAACGAACCGCCAAAACGATTGTTTGGCTAATGGCTTTTTCACTTGGCATTTTGATCCGAAAAGCCAAAATCTGAAATGCCAAGGTGAGTAGCATTTGGACTTGGCGGTTAGGAAAAATATTTTTTTTTAAAATCATTTTTGTTGAAAGATATTTTATAATATATGTAAAAAATAAAAATAAAAGTTAAAAAAATTAAATACAAAAAAATAAAATGAAATTAAAAAAAATTATATTTATAATTCATTAAAAAATTTATATTTATAATTTATTATGAATTAAATGAAATTAAAATTTAATATTCCATATATTAAAGATTTAATTTTTACATGTAAAAAAATGAAAAATAAATATCATGTCTACACACACACACATATAATTTTTTATTTATTTTTTTTAATTTAAAAAAAATATATTTATGATATGATATTTAAAAAAATTGTAAAATAAAATATACCATAAATGGAGGGATGTCGTTTTATGTAATTTTATTTACAAACAGCTAACTATAAACAGCTAAAGTTGCCAAACACTTAAAATTTAACTGATAACAGAAACAGCCGGTCAAAACAGCTAACTCAATCAGTCATTCAAATCAGCTAACATAAACAGCCAACAGCCAACTGCTAGTATTCAAACAAGGCCTATAGCATATAGCAAGCCATTTTGGCATGCTTGGAGATGCTCTAAGAAATTCTTTTTAAGTGTAGCATTGGACTCTGAACTTCATTGATTATGCATTTAATTAGAATTGTTAAGTCTGCATTATTTAACGTGAAAGTTAGGCTTAAGCCAGGAAAATAATCCGTACCCCGTATGGTCCTATTTTACAATTTTAGTGCAAAATAATTAACAATCAAGATTTCACAAGTGTAATTTGTATCGTTAGAAAAATCTAATTTTAATACGAGCATAATTATCACGCCATGGTTACCATTAATTTGAGCTTGATGGGTAATAACCCATGGGTACCGCCCGGTAAGTCTGACCGACCAGGAGGGAGGTACCAAATGCAATGCCGCCTGACCTAGATGACCCGGGCTGTCTGACCGGTCGGGAATGAGAAGATCCGAAGCAAAGATGCAACTTCTTCTCTCGAAGGCATACAAACTGACCGGTCAGTAATCTGACCGGCTGGATGAGCAAGGACATGCTTGACGTGCTTAGGATTATTATAAATATGCTTAAAAGCCTCATTTGTGAGGCATGCTTTAATTAATCTGTACGACTTGTACTTTGTAATAGTCCCATATATTGTCATTAATAACAAACCGGGCTACAAGTGTTTCCACCTACAACCCTTCTGATCATTTATACTTAGTATTTGCACGGTAATTTACACCATCAGAGCTTAATATCGGAATCTGATTAAATTAGGAGTAAAATAGGTAAAAAGTATCAAAAAATACGATAGTAATAATGTTAATAAGTAGTACCAATAATACAGTGAGACATCAATACAGTGATATAATGTCAAAGTACAAACTCATGATTTGGAGACAAAAATATCGAACTCATATATTCAAAGATAAATAATGTTATCGAATACTTCGTCCGTTTATTAAAACTATTCTCATTTTGACTTTGGGCCAAAATAAAGAAAGTATAATTTTGGTTGCCTTTCCAATTTTGCCCCTGATGTGATGGATAAAAGCAAGATGTGATAGTTTGGTTATTAGTGAAAAAAGAATGATGTGATAAGTAGGATATGAAAAAGTAAGGGTAAAAGTAGTTTTTTAATAGAAAATGGAAGTGTTTTACTCCCTCCGTCCCAAAAAGTTTTTTATGTTTCATTTTTTGCGCATCCCATAAAACACTTCTATCGACATTTAAAATGTTCAAAATTTACAACATTTCTTGTTTATTGTGGGTAGAAATTATTTTAAAAGTTTTTTTGGCATTCAAGGCGGGATATAAGTGTTTTATGAGATGCGCAAAAAATGAAATAGGAAAAACTTTTTGGAACGGACGGAGTAGAAAATTGAACAAAATGAAAGCGGAGGATTCTACGGGAGTATGTATTACTCATGTTTGAGGTGCATTAGTTGTATTTGACACGCCATCCGTTCTAAAAAAACTTCCAAATTGATCTGACACGGAGTTAAAAAATAAAAATAAAAATGGATATATTAAAAACAAATGCGAAGGGAATGAAGTTGTGATATTTTGATTAACACTACCTTCTTCCTATTCCTATATATACAGTCCTACATTTGTATGTATTTAAACATGTGCACTAAAGATCTCATAATCTCACTCATTTGGATCCCTCCCATATGATAATTAATTAATTAATTACAGAGTATTAATTTACTTGATGGGAAACTTCTTGGTTCAAAGTTTCAAACGGACCGGAGCATAATTAATCTCGCAGTGATAATGGAGGGGCGGCCGGCGGCGGCGGCGGTGCTTATTATATTGTTTTTCCAGGTTTGTTCCGGCGGCAGCGTCGAGGAATGCCCGAAATGCCCCTCGGGCTTGAACGGGAGTTTGAAGGAGCGCATAATGGGCTTGGCGAATGAAACGGGAACGGCGGAGTGGATTACAAGGGTAAGGAGGGAAATTCACAGGAACCCGGAGCTCGCTTTCGAGGAATTCGCCACCAGCGCGCTCGTCCGGCGGGAGTTGGACAACTTGGGGGTGGAGTACCGGTGGCCGGTGGCGAAGACCGGCGTCGTTGCCTCAATTGGTTCCGGTTTTCCGCCGTTTGTGGCTCTCCGGGCGGATATGGATGCCTTGCCAATACAGGTCTTTTATAATAGCATTAAAACATTTCTCTAAATAGCATTTAAATTGTTTTATTCCGTAAATAACACTTAATAATGTTCATAATGACCAGTGATGACAAACATTTACTTGAATAATGACTAATGAATAATGACTAAAAGTGCTACATTGAGAAAAAAAACATATGTAGTGCTATTTAGGAGAAGTCATTATGTTTTAGTACTATTTACATAAATTCCTCTTTATTATTTACAATTATTATTACGGTGATCACACCACACACTAGTTTTTGAATAATGGATTAGAGCTTGATTTGCATATTTTTTTATTGTCTAACACGATGTTTGATGCATTTTTTTCATGGTAAATTAATTTTGAACTGCGCTCCAAAAAAAAAAATTGAACTTGTTTGCTAATACTCAGTAACATTTTTAATTGGACTGACGGTTTAGACTTTAGATGACATATGGGGACTCATGTTATAAGATGACACCCCACGGGGGGACTCATGTGAGCCGAGCCGTCCCCAAAGTTTAAATAACATTTTTGAAAAATTATAATTAAACTTTAAGGGGCACTTAAATCATGTTATTCACAATCTATTTTTGTACTTATTACTTATTCTAATTGGAGTAAGATCAGATCATACCAGATCAAACCATATAAGATAAAAATAGATTTAAAGATAACTATATTCAAATTAGATCAAATCAGACCAGATTAGATCAGATTAAAACTTATCCCAATCAGATCAGAATCAATTAGATCAGGTGAAGAGAACACGGCCTTAGTTTCTACTTTCTAGACTCTTACTCCCTCCGATCCTAAAATCCTTTCGTGTTTTGATTTTTTAATCAAACAGTGACATTCTTTGACTATAGATTGTGAGAAAAGTATATTTAATTATAACACAAATTTAACATAATTGAGTTCATCTTAATTTGACATTTTGATATATCAAATTTTATACCGAGTATCATTTATTTATTTAAATCATATTTAATTTGTGATCGAAGAGTATCACCGTTTCACAAAAAAAATCAAAATTAAATTTTTTTTATGAAACAAATGAAAAACCTTGATAGAAACTAAGGGACCACTTAATTAACTATGGTTATATATATATGTGTAGGAAATGGTGGATTGGGACCACAAGAGTGAAGTAGATGGGAAGATGCATGCTTGTGGGCATGATGCCCACACTGCCATGCTCCTTGGTGCTGCTAAAACTCTTCATCAACTTAGACAAGAATTACAGGTAATAGTCAACTCATTTATTGGCGTTAGCGTTTTGAAAAGAATATCTGAGGGTAGCCTTTAGCGTTAGCATTTTCAGAGATAATCTACACCGTTAAAATTTTATCCAAAATGCTAACGCTAATGGAAAACATTCTTTCGAAACAAGGCCATTATGTTACATTTAAATGATTAGTGCAACTCGGTGATATTTGACTATAAAATCAGGGGACCGTTGTGCTTATATTTCAACCCGCGGAAGAGCGAGGGAAAGGGGCAAGAGACATGATTAAAGAAGGGGTTATCGACAATGTAGAGGCCATATTCGGGCTCCATGTAAGCCATGATTACCCAGCCGGCGTGGTGGCTTCCCGGCTAGGGGAATTTCTCGCCGGTTGTGGGATCTTTCAGGCCACCATCAAAGGGAAGGGCGGTCATGCCGCCCTCCCACAAGAAACCATTGATCCAATCTTGGCCGCATCTGCTTCCGTTATGAGCCTCCAAACAATTGTTTCCCGGGAAACCGACCCCTTTGACTCCAAGGTCAAACTTCCAACGCCGTTATATATATCATTAATTATTACTCCGTACATTAATTTTTCTCTTTCGTTCTTGTTTCATTAATTATGTGACTCCTTAATTACTAATTAATTAACGTCAAACTAACTAGGTGGTCTCAGTAAGCCAGATTCAAGGAGGATCTGCTTTTAATGTTATTCCTGACTCGGCCACGATCACGGGAACTTATCGAGCCTTCAACAAAGACCACTTCTACTCCTTAAGAAAGCGAATTGAGGAGGTAATTATTAGCTAAAAAAAGTCACTCCACACATAACTTGTGAATAATTTCATTGGGGAACGTCCAAGTGACATTGGACGGTAATGTCATGGAATAACCCGGGGACGCTTCGGTGATCCGTTCGTAAAATTGACGGTTCCTACTCCCTAATACCCCCGTAAACCCCCCACGGCTCCACCTCGCCCTAACTTGAACACCCACATACACCCCCTCCAATTACACCCACAAGTTGATTTTGACTTCGGAGTCAAGTTTTGACTTCAAAATCAAAATCAATTTGTGGAATGCAATTGAAGGAGATGAGGAAGTGTGTTTGGGTCGGGGTCGGGTGGTGGGGGTTTACCGGGAGTAAGAACTATCAATTTTATGAACGGGGCACTGGAGCACCTCGAATCATCTCATGACATTGCCAGACAATCTCATGAGAACCTTGCGCATATAAAATGTGACTACAATGATATATGTTGAATAACAATCAACAAACTTGCTGCTGTAATAGGTAAAAATGAAACAAATGATAAATGGTAACCAAGCTGAGAAGAATGGCAGTAGCCAAAAACACTAGAGAAAGAATGATGGCACTGGATCAGGTTGTAAATGGCTCGAAATGGAGCAGCGGAACGAACGCACTGAGTCGCCGGAAGATGTGGCTGTCCTTAAGACGTATTCGCCTCGTCCGGTGGTGTTTGGAACAACGTGAGGCGTATGTCTCCCAGGATAAAATAGTGATCGTGTTTAGATACTAACACCGTGTATATAAACACCGGCGAACATGAACGAAAAAGGAGAGAATTTTATCTGATCACTCTGTGAATTTTGTGTGCTCTGAAGTGGAAGAGCCGCGTTGAAGCACTGCTACTCCCTTGGCTATTTATTGAAGAAGGGAATGAATATCATCCACACAAAATTAGCAAAGTGGGGAGCAACTTGCCAACTGCCTTGGATAGGCTCTATTGACCGAGCAAAAAGGAGAACAAACTGAGTAAGTTTAGCTCCATTTAAATGTGGTCAAAATAGATCTAAGGCTGCGTTTGGCTACGTTAGGAACGAAATAGATTAAACCAATTTCTCATTCACATTTTCTCCACTTTTATAGCTAATTTTCCAACAATATATATATACTTATAAATGTATTGTAGATTGTGAAAGCTCAAGCAGCCGTGCACAGGTGCACGGCTGAGGTTGACTTTGACGGGACGGGGAACCCGGACCTGGTGCCGACATTGCCGCCAACCTTAAACGACCAGAGGATTTACGAGCACGGGCTGAGGGCGTCGAGGATGGTCGTGGGGGAAGAGAATGTGGAGTACGCCAGGAGGGCCATGGGGAGCGAGGATTTCGGAATGTACTTGGACAGGATCCCGGGCTCGTTCTTCGTTCTCGGAACGGGGTCGCCGTCCCGGCCCCACAGCCCTTACTTTAGCATCGACGAGAGCGTTCTGCCGATTGGGTCGGCCATTCACGCCATGTTCGCTTATACTTACCTCTTGAACACCACCACCGCCACGCCCAGCGGTTGTATTGGTTAATTAATTTGGTGTGTGGGTTAAGTGAATCAAACTTGACATTTGTATTTACTCCGTATTAAATAAAGTGCCCCCGCATTTTTATTCTCCACTTTTTTTTTATTATCTTAGTGGCATGTTTTTTTATTTAAACTATAATTTTTAAATATATAAATTTTATATTTTATTTATGTAAGTTTTCAAATAAATTGATTTTAGAAGTCTTTCATATCGCTTAAATTCCTTCCTATTTTGGAACAAATAGGGTATAATTTGACCCTTTGAATCTACTTTTTTAGAATTATCCTTTGAACAATTATGTTTGAATTAATGCTAATCAATAAGACAAAGAGTAGTTTACCTAAATAGGACTAAAACATGATGACTTTCTCAAAATAGGAATATATGTTTTTATTTCCGAATGTAGGACCTTTGGTCATTATTCTTTAGTCATTATTCAAGTAATGTCTATCATTGCTGGGCATTATTCCTTCCACGAAGACATTATTAAGTCCTATTTAGGGAATAAAAAAGTTTAAGTCTTAGATTAGGAAAGTCATTATGTTTTAGTCCTATTTAGTGCAAATTTCACTAAGACAAAAAGTTAAAAAGTTTATTACTCTCTCTCTTAAAAAAACGACCCCTGTTTTTATTTTAGGAAAACTTTGTGTATCTTCCCTTCTTTCTTTCTTATTTTCTCTTCAACATAATTTTGAATCACGTGGTTATACTACCTTAAGTTTCGTGCAAAATTCAAGCAAAACGATTTTTTTAGGATGGTGGAAAACTGGAAATACCCTTTTTGTCTAAATTTAAATTATCTATTCACTATTAAACCATTTTAAAGAGTCAAACTTTATTCACCTTCTTTACCTATTTTCGTTACTTATTTGATAAAATTAAACAATCACATCATCTCTTGTTTTGTAAAACTTTTGATGCAATTTTTATTTTTTAATTATATTCAAATTTTTAAATAAATTGAAGTAGCAATAATTTTAATTAAATATTTTGATCCGAAATAGAAGGTTTAGTTTGAGAGGGAGGAACAATTTATGAATCAACAAAGGAAAATAAGAAAGGGATTTCTGACGTGAGGTATTTTGGGCCGTTAAGAATTACCCACTAGCAAATAGGATTGTTATTGGGCTTTAAGGTTTCCTAATGGATGTAAATCACAACATTTTGTACCGTGGCATGACTGGAATCCGGGGTGGGCATATAAACTGGACTACATGGACTTGATCAATATCGTGCCGGCCCATGTATAAAATGGATGTCATTAAATGGGCTTGGTTCTGTCAGATGTTTAGGACTGACTAACTTAACAGAATGCCGTCTGTCTCTAATTCAGAAAGTGTCTATAGCAAGAATAGACAGCGCCAGAGATAACATGACCCTACTTCCAACTCCGCAAATGATTTAATTAGGGACAACTTTTGTAAATGTTTTACTCCCTCCCTCCGTTCCTAAATATTCACAACATTTGCTTTTTTAGTAGTGTCGGAAACTTTTGTTTATTTAGACGTTTTCATTGATTATTTGATAAAATAAAATATTTTTGACACCTCTTATTTCGAAGAACTTTTCATGTAGATTTTTTATATGTAAATTTTATTTTTTATTTTCTTACCAATATGTAAATAAAATTAATTGAAAAAACTTGATATTTTACCTCGGGAATACAAATGTGACAAATAATTTGGGACAAAGGGAGTACCATATTTCTATAAACGAAGTAAAATTTCAAGTTTTTGCAAATTATTTTAATTAAATATTATTATAGAAATAAAAAATAAAATTTACATACATATTTAAAAGTTACATGAAAAGTTTTTCAAAATAAAAAGTGTCAAGAATATTTTATTTTTTTCAAATAACAAATGAAAACGTATAAATAAAAATTTACATGACTGTTGAAAAAGTAAATGTGTCAATCATTTTCGGACATAGGAAGTAATAAAAAAACTCAGTCAATAGGAGGTTTAATTATTCTTCATAGTGAAAGTAATGTTCTTTTAAAATTTAGAAAAAATCCATGCAAAATACTCCCTTTGTCCCAAAATACTCTCTTGATCATTTAATAAAATAAAATATTCTTTTAAATTTTTGTTTTGTAGATATTTTGATGCATTTTTTAACAATATAATATATACTTTTATTTTCTATATCAAATTTCATTTAAAAAATGTTAAAAGTGATAAAATTTTGTATGTTTTTCGAACACCGATAAAACGACCTATCACATTCATATTCTCTATTCCCTTCTACTTTCGATTACAATTATGAAGCATAAAACTGACTATGACTTCATATTTATTCATTATTAATATATTCATTATATCTTATTCTATCATAATACAGAGTATAGCAAGGAGATCATTAGAAAGTAACACTAAAATTTTAAATTCATTAGAAATATTACATGAGAGGGGTGTAAATTGAAAAAAAAGCTAGGGGCATTCTGGGTTGAAGCCTGAAGGACTACTTTCATGTTCCTATTGAAATTACCTGATTTGGTTTACGATGTTTGACCAAAATTATTTTGAATAACTTATTTGGAATTTGGTGCATAATTAAAAATAAAATTTACATATTCAAAAATTACATGAAATTTTTCTTGAAATAATAGGTGACATGACTATTTTATAGATCGTGTAATGAAAAATATAGAAAAAAAAGTGAATAAAATTTCATCTGTGAAAATAGTAAAAATAATACAGCTTAATTTGGGAGGGAGAGAGTAGTACATCAAAAGGAAAGGCTTAGGTGGCTCATAATCTCTGGTAACAACCAGCCTTCAAAGTAGTGTACTATATATAAACACCAACTTGCATGCAGCAATAATTCAAGGACCTTCCTTCTATATATATATATATATATATATATATATATATATATATATATATATATATATATATATATATATATATATATATATATATATATATATATATATATATATATATATATATATATATATATATATATATATATATATATATATATATATATATATATATATATATATATATAGACACACACACAGAGAGAGAGAGAGAGAGAGAGAAATCAAAATAAATACTCAAGCTAATATAGTTTGGTAGCCATATATCATTATATATATTCCTAGCCAGCTAGCTAGCAATCTCTGCTTCTGAAACACACATAAAATGTTGTTGTCTCCTCGCTTCCTGCTTCTACTCACCTTCTTCCTCTTCTGTCTCTCTCAGGTACTATATCTCAAAGTTTAATTTTGCAGATTTTGTTCTTAAAAATGAAAAAAAAAAAATAATGTAGCTTTTCGTTGTATTCGATTCGGAAAAACATTGAAAATAGTTTTATTTTTTTATTCTTTAAATAAGAGTTAAAATGTATTTACATCACTAATCATGACAATGTACATTACTAGAATGCATATGTACAATGCCAATTACCAGAATGCGAATTCTTATTCAGGGAATAAAAACATGAAACTAGTGGGTGATTTCTTTATTGGATTCGTATATTATTTGCATGGTCAAACGATATATAACGAGGTAGATATGATTGGCATTACTCCATGCAGGTTTCATGTGATGTAGTAGTTGAACTTGATGATGAGGAGGCCTTCTCTCAAACTCAGGTTTGATTCAATTTGTCTTCTGTTTTAATTTGGTTTTCCACATGCATTTTGTTAACTTCAATTCCCTTCTCATTTGGCTCCTTTTCCTTATTCACAATGATTCAAATCCAATTTTTTCTTAAATTGTTTTTGACAACTCCAATTAGTAGTCACTATATGTACTCAATGTTTCCACATGGATATATATGTTGGACAATTCATACAATTTTATCTTTTAAAATATGAAAATTGGACAATTTTTTCTAACCTTAACAGCTAGACAAATAAATCAGGACAAAAGAATAATATAGCAATAATAGAGATGTATATCCCTCTGCAATTAAAAAAAAAAAAACTGACAATTGGAACGATCCGGCCAGGTTGTCAAGGGACCCAATAGAAGGCTCTTACCTTTCCTCGGTAAGGTTTCAATTACTTCTCGTTTCATTTGTATTTTGTCTCTCAAATTCTACTGTCCTCCGTTCTCAAAAACACTTCCTCTTTCATTTTTTCCACTTCCAACAAAACACTTTCCCTTTCTATTAAAAAACCACTTTTACCCTTACTTTTTCATACCCTACCTATCACATCATACTTTTTCTCTAATAATCTATCCATCACATCTTACTTTTACCCATCACATCAGGGGCAAAATTGGAAATCAACTATAATTTAACACTTTCTTATTTTTGCCCCCAAATCAAATGGGAAGGGTTTTTCCAAACGGAAGGAGTATATTTTATGCTCATTTTATGCTTTAAAAAAAATTATTCCCTCAGTCCCAAAATAAACACTCCTGACATATTCATGTTACTTATCAATTTTTAAATAAATTGAAAGAATAATTTCGATTAAACATCAACAAGAATTTCAATTATTTAATCTACAAACACAAAAGTACAAATGTAAATACAGAGCTGAAACTCACAGTCCATACAATCCTGCAGACAAAGAAAGAAAAAAAAGCAGATACACGAACAGATACTACATTATAATAGAATTATTAGTGTTAAACGTAGATTGCAAAAGAAAAAGTTCTAGTTTTAAATTAAAAGAAAATCATATCAAACTAGACTTTAAAATTACAGACAAGGAAAAAAGGGAAAGAAAAGAAAATGGACTTGGTTGTTTGTTTGATTGTTGAAATGGGGGGGTGTGCAGATTGTGGAGGGCTGTGCAAGATGAGGTGCAGCGCGCATTCAAGGCCAAATGTGTGCAGCAGAGCATGTGGGACCTGCTGCACCAGGTGCAAGTGCGTCCCACCTGGCACCTTTGGCAACCGCCACCTCTGCGGCAAGTGCTACACCGACATGACCACTCATGGCAACAAGCCCAAGTGCCCTTAACTCTGGGGGGACCCCTACCCTACAATCCCCCCCCTCCCTCTTCTTCNAAGAGGCTCTTCTTCAGCTACACTCTTGTTGATGGAACCTGTCATATGACGATATGTGTTATGGAAATGAAGAGTATTAAACTAAGGATTCGTTTGGAAAGATGGAGAAATGGTTTTTCTGGAGGGAAAATAAGTTCATTTTCTGGTGTATGGTTGAAATTTTGGAAAAATAGTATGAAATTAATATTTTCTTTGCTTATAAGATAATAAATCGTGATGGGAATCGATCATCTTTCTTTACTTTTCGAAACAACCAAACACCGAAAAATGAGAAATTTTCCACTCTCCCCAAACAGACCCTAAGCTAAGAGCACAAACAATGTCTCCCAAAGCATATAAAACTCACTGAAAGGATGTGTGGGAGGGTTTAGTCATTCATATTACCTCTCTTCTTAAGTTTATTTCTGAAGCTTCGTTTTCGACTAAAGGCCTTCTCCTGCACAAACATTACAATAGCAAAAAGATCACATGGGGGAAAGATTGGTTTTGGTTTGGTTTGGTTTGGTTGGACATGAAATTGAGTGATGTTTTTAAATGTAACTGTAAAGGCTCTTACCACTGGTTCACCAGTGTTTTCGGCTCGACGAACAGCAGCCACAAGATCCCGGTTAGATTCAGCATAGAGACTGGTCACAAGCCCAGGTTGTCCGGCTCTAGCAGTACGACCCACCCTATGCAAGAAATCTACAGCAGATGTTGCAAATTCTGCCTGTCATCAAGTACAAGAAAGATGACATTTTTTTTTTAAAATCTCAAATCAGAAGCTAAGAGTTAATGGGAAGAAGAATGAAAACCCTCTCACACTTATAATGCAATCAAGCTTTTCACACAAGCAAAAAAACACTCTCACTATGGAATTAATAGTGAATACATTGAACCAGGGGTACCATACCCCAGAAAGAGTACGCAGAATAACCCAAGATCATAAGCCCAATTTCGCGAAAAAAATACTTGAATAACGTGAGAAACATTAGGAACGTCGAGACCGCGGGCAGCAGCATCTGTGCAAACAAAAACACCGCCTCTCTGTTGGAAGCCAGCTAGCCTTTCTGCGCGCTCCTCCAGGGAACAATTACGGTGGTAGCAGAAACACTCGATCCCAACCCGCGTCAAGATCTTGGCTACAGCTTCCACGGCTTCAACAGTGTTTGCAAACACCATGGTTCTAAGTGTTCCAGAGGATTGGGTTCCATTTTTCACAGAATCTATTAAAGCATCGACCTGTGTGTCTGTTGTAACTTCAATCCACTCCTGCTTCAACCTGGGAGGGTGCAAAATGCCGGTTCATCAAATAATGGCTTTTGTTCAAAATGAATAAGACATTTCATTACAATACGCCTTAAGAAGCTACACTTAGAACAATGGTGTTACAATTATTCAGACTTCAGAGACATCTGCTTCTACCCATACAATAACAAACTCAATATATTTTCAACTTCATTGGGGTCTGGAGGGTCAAGATTTATGCAGAGGCTATTTCCATTAGACCCATGATGCATTGTTGTATTTACTTCAAAAAACTTCTTAGAAAGTAAGAAGCAAGAGAAGATATACATGCAGTGATTTCTTCTGACGCTAAAATATCATAAATAAAAATGATTCTTTTAGCTACAAAGGACGTGGACTTTAAACTTCAACAATAAAATGGGGGAAAAATTTACTAGATGAAAAGGCACCTTGGGTTGTGGCAATGGAGGTAGTTTCCACTGACCCAGCATGCATAAGGAAACATCCGTGTTAAAACTCCTCCGGCAGTTTTCTTCCCATTCACAGGAAGTGTTGCAGCAACAAAAATATACTGCTTACTTCTCTCATATGTTTTTCTCACTCTTCGCCAATCTGTTCTCTTGGCAACCTTGCAATCAACTTCTGATTCTGTTGCGCTTGAATCATCTTCGACATCATCAACTTTGTCGTTGCAATCTTCTAGCGAGTCCCCATTGACATCCTCTTGGTCACAGCCAAAAGGAGAATCAGGACTCCGCCTGGTCAGCATCTCAGCTTCATGATTGCTTAAATGGGACAGTTGCTTTTCATCAAAACGAAGCATATTTATGAGTCGAATGACTTGGTTTTGGAAACTGCCACAAAGAAGCATGTCTGCCTCATCAAAAACCTGGTGTTAATTGAATGATCAGGCTAAGAGACGACATTCAAACCAGAGGTATCTTAAATAAACTGATCTTTGATCGATTTCTATTGGAAGAAAATTTACCACATGTGTCAAGCTACGTATAAAATCAGAGCGGTGGCCATTCTCTGAGTCAACTGTGTGAATATAATTCAAAATTGCAGTGGGCGTTGACACCATTACATCTGGTTCTTTCACTGGCCATGTCTGCATTGATGTTTAAACACTTTATGCATACAATAAAGCAAGACCAATATTTTCTTTACCTGGCATTCTTTGAGCTCCAAACATGGCTTTTAAGATTCTTTTTTTTGGTAATAAGAGTACCTGTCGGCCACAAACAGCAGCAACCTTGAGGAATGGCTCGCCACTATTGTTACAAAGACAGTTAGCCATTCTGACCACTTGCTCGCACAGCATGACATTTGGACATAGAACAAGAGAAAGTTGACGGGACTTTGTTGCTTTCCTCTCCAACAGACCTTCCCCTCCTGATATACCGCCACTTTCAGAAAGCTTATCGATCAATGGAACCAAGTATCCATGGGTTTTGCCACTACCAGTCTCGGCAGCAACCACGACATCAGCTCCAGACAGTATATTTGGTATGCAAGCAGCCTGTAGAAATGCTTGTTTTAACAAAAGATGCGATTTTTAAGGTAATAAAATGGTGTCGAAGCACGAAGATATAGTTAGAACTGAACATAGACTTGGAACTGTAATAGTTGGTGATAGCTGCAAGCCTGCAACTACACACAATTGGTTTCAAAACCAAAACTATCCTAAAGCCTGGGAAATATATAGGGCCTATTTGAGAATAGCGTTAGAGGTTAGCATTAGCGTTTTGAAAAGGCTATCTAAAGGCAACGTTTAGCGTTAGCGTTTTAAAAGTTAGTCTGCACCACTAAAATTTTATCCAAAATGCTAACGCTAATCGAAAACGTTATTCCCAAACGGGCCCATACTCATTTTGTATCAGATATTTATTCAAACTCATTTTATTGGTTTATGTTAATATAAGCTCTTTTGTCTATTTCTATGTAAAAAGATACACATGAAAATAATTTTCCTCAGAATTTCCCCCTTTCCCTAGCATTTTCCGGGATCTAAACATTCCCTAAGTAGCTCAGTATAAAGAATATAAGATATAATAGCATATTAGCATTGTCCAAATAAAAGTTCCCACTTCTACCTCAAATGAATTTCATTATGTAGTATCTGCACTGCAAATTTCATACAATTAGGTTTAAGGGGTTCCTAACTACAACAACAACAAAGCCTTATCCCACTAGGTGAGGTTGGCTACATGGATCAAACGACGCCATTGCACCCTGTCATATACCATATATGTAGTGAGATCATTCACGCGAAGGTTCCCCCTTAACCACTTCGAGCCAAGTCTTCTTAGGTCTACCTCTTCCCCTAGCCACATGTCTATTCACCATCTGATCAACCTTTCTCACCGGATGTTCTATTGGTCTTCTCTCCACATGTCCAAACCACCTAAGACGAGTTTCCACCATTTTCTCTACAATAGGTGCCACTCCAACTTTAGCTCGCATATCTTCATTCCTTATTCTATCCAAACGCGTATGACCTCTCATCCATCGAAGCATCTTCATTTCGGCCACACTAATCTTGTGTTCATGTTCACCCTTTGCTGCCCAACACTCTGTTCCATACAACATAGCTGGTCTAATCGCAGTACGGTACAATTTTCCCTTTAGTTTTAAAGGTACTTCTTTGTCACATATAAAACCCGAAGCACTCCGCCATTTTGACCAACCGGCTTGAATCCTGTGGTTAACATCACCCTCTATTTTTCCATTGTCTTGAATGATACACCCAAGATATTTAAATCTCTTTACTTGTGGTATAGTATTTTCTCCGACTTTCACCTCGACGTTACTATTTCTCCTTCTGTTGCTAAACTTGCACATCATATACTCTGTTTTAGTGCGACTTATACGCAATTCATGCAACTCCAAAGCATGTCTCCACGAATCCAACTTTCCATTCAAATCCTCTCGTGATTCGCTCATAAGGATAATGTCATCGGCAAAAAGCATGCACCATGGTACGGGTTCTTGGATATGCTCGGTAAGAACTTCCAATACTAGGGTAAATAAATTAAGGGGTTCCTAACTAATCCAAAAAAAAAAACTAATCTTTAATCGACGCTTCTTTCATAGCTTATTTTCCCAATCAATTGTATGTTTCTAAATACTCAAATAATCAATTTTATGCGAAATAAGCTGCGCACCTGAACCAGAGATGGCCTCTGAAAGCCAATACTAGATAAAGACCGAGATAGGCGGTCAGAAACGCCGAGCGACTTCCAGGAGACGTCATCCTCCGCGAAGAAGATGTCGCCGCCGTTCTTCTCAGCGGCGGCAGAGGCCGCCGTTCCAAACGCCCTAATCCGAAAAAACTTCACCCTCGCGAATCGGCAAGTTGGGAGGGATAAGAGTTTCGGCGCAGAAGGCGATAGACCGCAGCATAGTCTAAGCATTGTTGAATAAGAGTGCTGCAAACCCATATTTTGAGCTGGTGTTAGTGTCCCAGTGAAAAGACTGATGAAGAAGAAGACGGAGGGAGGGTAGATAGAGATGAGCGAGTGGAATTTATTAGTATAATGAAATACTACAATTCTGAAAGTTCCTAATATCATAAATTAAGATCATTTTTATACTAAAATTGATGGGAAATAATACGTGGCTCGGCCCACATTTCTAATTATTTTACGAAGAACAGTCAAATCTGGCCTGTTTAATAAATTGAGGGAATAAGAGAATATTCCCCTAATATGCTTCCACTCCTCCCCTATAAAAAGAGGGTTTGCCCTAATAGTTGAGGGGGCCAATTGATCCCTTCTCCCTGCCCAAATCTTCTTTCTCTCTCTAGATTATATATTCTTTTTTCTTTCAATGAGCTTGAAGCTCCACATTTTCTCCATTAATGGCTTCCAAGCCCAACTCTTGTACCATGTACACACCCCCATATATCAATAAAAATCCCCCGTTGGCAAGGTACCGCCAGAAAAGGCCCGTGGTTTTCTCCCGATTTGGGTTTCCACGTAAAAATTCCCGTGTTTATATTTTGGTGTGTTTTTTAGACTAGTTTATTGTTTTTACCGGTTAAAAACGATATATACCGGTCGATAATTTACACCATCAAAAATGTATTACGGTCTGAGAGTAATTGAAGCTCAAAGTTCATCCAATTTGACTCCAAAAAGTCAAACTGAACAAATATATTGGAAAATATAATTTTGGGCTTTAGTCCAAATATGATATGAAGTGAGGGAGATTACGTACCAGTGCGATACACGTCCAACAATTTTTTTGGAAATAAATAATAATGCAAAGTTACTAAAGTAAAGCTTTTATATAATTCAAATACCTATGGAAAAAAATATTTGCAGAGAGTATTTAAAAAGTTATGATGAAGTTAAATACGGAGTATAACAATAAACTTAAAAATAAGTATTTATAACTTGTTAAACATTTAAGTAGAGTTGGGCATGACTAAACACATTTTTTTTGAAAATAATCCCACGTGTTTAAGAAATTGGTCTCGACTTTTATTAATAGTCATTGCATATGAGACCATCATGAAAAATTATTAATATTAATATGATACCATTATAAAGTCCTATTAAATGATTAATATTTTTAAGTCGCATGTGAGCAAATGATTAGGGACAGCGGATGCACGTATGTTATTTAATTTAAACATTTATTAAAAACATGTAAATCACTCAATAAATCAAAATTGGAATCTAATTTTTCAAACCTAAGAACTAAGAAAACTGAGACATGAAAGTAAAGAAATAAGGGCTGCGATGAACAAAGAAATCCAGATCTTAATTCCATGAAAAATTAAGAAAAATATGAAAAATTACATTTACCGGCGAAATAATGCAAAAATAGATGATGAGTATCCTCAATTTTGTGGTAAGAACTCTCGGTTTTATCGTTTTTCAAAACATAATTCGGGGTACCTTAAAGTATCCAAAAACTAACTCTGGAGGGACTTTCCGTCCATCCCTCCATCATACCCACTTGCTCTGTTATCTTTTCATCTTCTTTTTTCCCAAAAACTACTGCTGGGTACCCTCAATTTTGTGGTAAGAACTTCCGGGTTCTACTATTTTTTAAAATATACTCCGTAGTAGTAGTAAGAAGGAAAAAAGGAAAATCCCTCCGGAGTAATTTTTTGGATATTTTAAGGTACATCGGAGTATATTTTTAGAAACGATGAGACCCGAAAGTTTTTGCCACAAAATTGAGGGTACCAAGTAGCAATTTTTGGGAAGAAGAAGACGAATAGATAACGGAGCAAGTGGGTATGACAGAGGGATGAACGGAAAGTCACACGAGAGTCAGTTTTTTGGTTATTCTAAGGTACCCTGGGGTATATTTTGAAAAATGATGGGACTCGCATGTTCTTACCACAAAATTTGGGGTACCAGGCAGTAATTGTTTGGAAAGAATGCTTGCGATGAAGGCTTGGAACAACGGATGAAGATGCAGATGCATGAACGAAAGAAGAAAAAGGGGGAAGAGGGGGTTGCGAGGAAGAGAGGGAGAAGAAATGATGAAGAAAGAAAAAGGATAGGTTCGGAGGAAGAGAAGAAAAGAGGCGATGAAGAAAGAAGAGAAGAGTTCGGGAAGAAGAAACGAAAATTGTCTTTCGGAGTTTTTTTTCGCAAGTCAAATTCCAGAAATGAGACTTCGTTTTCCGTTTGACCAGACTCATTTTCCCTTTGACTTCTATTTTCCTGTCTTGCTAAAAAGAGCCTTACCATATCGATTATTATGGGTCCGTTCAACTTATTACTTATTCTTATTAAAATTAGATCAGACCATGTCATATCTAATCAGAAATAACTTTAAATATAACTATAATCAAATCAAATCAGACCAGATTAAATTTAATTAATCAATATATGTCATTCTCTAGGAGCCTGTTTGAGAATAGCATTAGCGATTAGCGTTTTGAAAAAGCTATCTCCGGCCAGCGTTTAGCATTAGCGTTTTCAAAGTAATATGCACCGTTAAAATTTTATCCAAAACGCTAAAGCTAATTTCTAAAGCTATTCCCAGTAGATCTCTCGCCATAGGAAATCGCCCACAATAAGATAGTCTCTAGCCTGTAGGGATTAAGCGATGGCAACTTCAACCGCCTAAGCGTTCTCTGATTCACGAACAATCGATCTCTTCGATCCGGAAAACAAGTCTTTGTACGAACAAAAAACCTGCTCCAATGTTGAATTCCGTCGCCCACACCCTCAAAAGAAAAGCTCTAGGGAAATTGAAAGCCTTTTTAGCGAGGTTTTGATTCAATAATTTTATCATCATCAATAATTTTATCATCATCATCATCTTTTCGACGAAGATGATCATTTGGAAAGTTATGAAGAAGAGAGTTCTATTTACGAGCCCGAAGAATTCATCACTGTATGGTTTTTTTCTCAGGTTTCTTTATTTCTTTAGTTGTTTTATTGCATTGTTGTTGTTATGTTTCAAAATTAAACAAGGATTGGAGGAATTTTATTTGTGGATAGCCATGTTAATTGTCCGGGATCTGTCTTTGCAAAGATTGAATTTTGGCATCTGGTGTTTTGTTATGTTTCAAAACTAAACAAGGATGGGAGGAATTAGTCATACTTTTACTTATTTGTGGACAGCCATGTTAATAGTCCAGGATCTGTCTTTGCAAAGATTGAATTTTGGCATCTGGGTTTTGAATCTTTTGTGTGATTATTCACTGAATTGTTCAATTTCCTGTTTTGGGTCTCCATCAATGGCTGCTGAAAAGTTTATTGCTTTTTAAAAAAGCAGAATCATGTATTTTTTTTCTTTCTTTCTCCAATTTTACTGGGATTTGGTTGTTCATAGTTAGTTGCTCCCTGCTAAGCTCCTTAAAAATGGTTTTTTAGCTAGCTTTGGAAGGAATGATTTCAGATGGTGAGAGATAATAAAAAGAATAAGAAAAGCCTTGATTTTGATTGTCTGGAGTTTGAAAATTTTATATATTTTTGTTTTTTTGAAAGCATGTTTGTCTGTTGGTGTTTGAGCTCATTGAGCTCAAGGTCCCCCCTCTCTACTTTCGAGTAGGGACAAGGTTGTTGTTGTAGCCATGTTAATAGTCCATTACAGTATTTAATTATTACTAGCAGTAATTTAGGGCGTTGAGGTCATGTGTGTGTGTGCGCCCCTACCCAAGGCTGGCTAAAATGAGAATACTTACTGTAATACAACATTTCTACAGTATTTATACCTATCAATCCAATTGTTTTCATACAAACCCTGCAGTTGGATCAAAAGATACTAAAATTTTATAGCAATCCAAAATCATCCTCTTGCAAACTCATACAGAGTATAACTTCTTACATTTTTTGAAGACTTCACATGTTCCAACATGAAATACAGTATTATGTTGACTTTTTAAATTATGTTTTAATGGTGAATTTATATTGGAGTTTTATAAAATTCTAGGAAGATGATTTACACGTCATTATCTTTTAATCAAATGGTGGGTTTGTAGAAAAACACTTCGAGTGAGAGATGTTCCTCCTGTAGAAGAGTTGAAAAAATGGAGGGTTATTATTACGACACGTTCGTGCAACAATCCTATCTTTCACTTCGCTTATTTTAATTCAAAATCTACCATGGGTTGAAAGTTATTAGCACAACTAATCATCTTAAAATTTAAAAAAGAATCTAAAATCATTTCTTGTTAAATCACGCCACTTATATATTAATAGGATTTAGAACTAGATATTGTGTTAACTTTGTTCTAGTAGACGGGGTATAAAATGATTTTTGATTGTTCTAAAATTTTATGAGCTTGATCTATGTGTCAATAGATTTCAATCATGTGGCGGAAAAAATAATCAAAGTGAAAGATATGATTGTTGTAAAAATTGTTGTATTATCAACCCTTCTCTCTCTCTCTCTCTATAGAAACACATATGCTCCCTTCGTTATGCAATTAAATCCACACTTTCTTTCTTTTTTAATACGTTCCAAAATGAACTTCACACTTCTCTTATTTCCTTTTAAAGAAAGAAGTACATGGCTTACAACATTTTTCTCTTACAAGTTGATTCCAACAACACTTTTTTACTCTTAAAGACTTTTCTCGAACTATGTGGAGTCAAAAAGCAAACTTTGTCACGTGATAAAGGAAGGATAAAATGAAAACTCTTTGTATGTTACAACACTTTTACAACATTGATATGTCTCACTCGGAATTTCTTTTACGAAATCAGAAATCCACCATTGGATTGAAAGATATCAGTACATAGATCATCCTCCCAAAAATTTATAGTAATCCAAAATCGTTTTGCCAATAAATCATGACTTACATTTATAAGTTTTAGAACTAAATATTATGTTGTTTTTGTTTTATTTTGATTTAGTGTTAAAACGATTTTTGATTACTATGCAATTTTGGAATGATGTTCTATATGCTAATATCTTTCTATCCCAACGGTGGGTTTCATATAAAAATAATCCGAGTGAGAAATCATTTATACTAGTATTGTAAACATCAAGTGTTGCACACACATTTGTATGTGTGTGTATGACACAATTTTCTTTGTGCATAGTGTTCCTCATAGAAGCTGTGCTTAATGATACTGATAGGTGTTATCCTTAAACTGTTCTCTCTCAGGATCATACACGATGTTCTCCCTTATTCAGTTGTGGAAGTGTGGATTGCGTAATTGTTGAAATCGGATGCGCTGATGATCGAGATAGATTCTTAGAAAGGCTTACGACACCAACGGACCCACGGGATCAAAAATCTTGGAGATTTCCCATAGAACCTTTAAGAACTTTCATTATCCTTAATTCCGTGAAATGCGTAACCTCAGTCGTGCATCACATTGATTTTTATGAAGTTGATAAGAGGGGTTTGACTCCACTGTGTTTGGCAACTTTGGCTTCTTGTCCTGAATTGGTTAAATTATTCCTTGAAAAAGGAGCTCCAACAGATGTTAGGCTCACGAATAGTGTATCAGCACATGATCAGATGCTTCCTCTTAATTATTCACTCCATTTGTTAAGGTTGTTGTCTTATTCCTGGCATTTAATTAAAGTCAAAACACCAATTTACTTGTATTGTGCTTGTTTATTAAATCCCTAATCTATGTTTCTTTAAGTGATCATGTCATGGCATTATACTCCCTGTTGTGGCTTCTTTTCTACTGTCTATGATCTAATGCATGTTTTAACCATTTCATATACTGCAGCAAATACATGATTTATTTTAACGTTCTGACTCCAGAACAATCAGTTTACAAGATGCTTATCACTCTCTGCCTTCCACAGCTGGTCTGTTCCTAATTTAGATGCAATGAATATGCATTTTTCCCTCTTATCTTAACGTGTTTCACTATGAGACTAATTCCTAGTGTTTATGCATACCTTTAAAATCAGAGATCAAAGTTGGAATGTGTGAGATTGCTCGCTGAGAAAACCGAGGAACTTGGTGAAGAAATTTATTACTATGCAAAGCATGGAAGGCTTGTTGAGCTGGCTGTCTTACTTTTGGTGGCCCGAGATAAGGTTACTTCTGCATCATTGGTTAAGAATTCCTCTTCATTGAATGAAAAGGATTGTAGAAATCTTGATCATTGCATGTCTCTCCGGGAGTTCATCATTTTCGAGCTAGGACAACTGAGTGCTCTTGAAGTGAAACTGGAATTTCATTGTGAAAATGGTAAGTTATTGAGTTGCTGCAAGGAAAAACAGAATCTGATGACATCTGCGCTGCTATTGCTTGAAATTTTTGAAAGGGCTGGCAAAACCATCGAGAGCTATTTAAAAAACCAGGTTTGTACCTGAGATGATTTTCCATATAAGTTTGCATGGAAAATTCCTATTATTTTCTTTTTCTTTACGATTTTATCAAGTTTGTTAAATTTTGTGTTGCTCATGTTCATTCTGATATCAACAGATCTAGCTTGTCTATTGAACGAACCATGTGTTATGGTTGAGTTGGTTCCTTGACAAAATCTTCAGTTTGGAAGATCACCATCTACAAAGCGTATTCTGTATATGTCTCCACGTGTATGGCTTTAGACTTTGGATTTCTTCGTATACGTATTTTTTTATTGTGTGTTGCTCATGTTCATTCCGATATCAGCAGCAGTAGTAGTAGTTTACTAGTGTTATTCCTTTCTTTTCAAGTAGTATTTAGTTCACAGTTAAGTACAGAGTACTGTTAAGAGTTTTTTTTCTCAACTAGTTCCTTTTATGTTTAGGAATATAAGTGATAGATATAGAACCTAGAAAATCAAAAGGAAATAAAAGATGGAATTGATAACTATGGCTGCAGATTGTAATCCAATTCAAGAAGGATTAACTCCCCAAATACAAAAGACAACTATTCAAACATGATCAAGACCTCTTTCCAACCAAACAGGGAATAGAATATTTAAATGTAAATTAATGGCAGTTACTATCCCTAATATTCAGCCCCACTTCCCCACGAAATCCACTTCGGCCCTACTCCACTTCCCTAATTAACTGTGTTAATTAAAACCCCCAGCAGCTGATTAAAACCCGACCCAATCTGACCCGCATCAGGGTTCGTATCAATAAGCCTCTCTACGTAGGAAGGCAATTGTAATATATTGTGATTATTATTGAATATAGAACTAAAACACATTTCTTTCTTCCTTCTTGGAACTTATCGCCTGTGTGTGTGTGTTTGTGATTAAGAGTTACATTATTTAAACCCTGAGTCGGAATACTTCCTCATATAACTTGCACATGACAAGGATTATTAGAGGAAAAAATTTGTCATCTTCCCGTTAATGTATATGCTAAAGTATTGTCTGTTCCAAGATGATGTTTCCAAGCAGTTTTATGCCTGACAACTGGATGTAGGGTAAACATAATTTTTTAAAATTTAAAAATCACACCGGAAGTTCTACAAAGCAAGATGTGACGTGACTATATTAATTAATCAAACGAGTAATGGGAATAGGCAAAGTGTATAAAGTTTGGCCTTGTAAATAGTGAATAAGAATTCATTTTAGAATGAAGGGAGCATGTGTTTTTTTACTTTATTTTTTCTTTGAGGTGATATGCATGCTTTATTAAGATACCCTGAATTGAAGGGAGCGAGAACCATTTCATGAAGTTCGTGTTCACAGTTAGTTTCCAACTTTCATGTTTTTTTTGTCAATGGAGAATAGTCATGGAATCAAGATTGTGAATCCAAATGATCTTATATATGTATTTTCCTACGACATGCATATTTTGATGTAGCAGAATTGCCTCTTCGACTTGATGCAGATGCCACAAGAGAAAATTGTGCAAATACTTGAAGAAGCGGGCTTTTATTTGGAAGACAGGGACACTGATATGAGCCATGTTGAGAGGTTGAACTTTCATGTTGTTCTGAACTGCACAATGTTGATGTTATTTGAAATATATCTCTTTAACCAATCAAACTTGTAGCGTTACTTGTTAGTAATATTTTCTTTTTTCATATTTTTGGGAGATAGTGTTAAATTGTAACCATTTTTATTTATATTCTATTTTTTGTGCTTATGTAGTTTCTCGTGGCCATCATTCTTGATGATGTCTAGCGTTCCTACAATTGGAAAGCATGCAGAAAAACCCAATCAATTGGTAAGACAAGTTGTTTTCTGTTTGTGCTGAGGACTAGGTCTTTAATTTTTTTTTGATATAGAAATGATTTTGAACAAATTTGTCCATTTCTCCTACAAGAGGTGCTCTAAATGGATTTGGATGGATACATTTCGAATAGATGGTGAATACCATTTTTAATGGCTTGTTTTGAAGGCAAATTAATCATTGTCCTTACAAATTACTGAATTTATTTAACCTACTCCCTTAGTCCCAAATTAAAAGTCTGATTTGATAGAATAAGAAATTTATATTGGAATTGATTTGAAAGAGGGAGAGAATGGTAGAACTATATTCATTACCAAAAAGGAAATGAGGCTATTTTGTGACGGAGAAAGGAAAGCATGTTGTTAGGAAGAGGTAGTGATTATCAACCCCATAGTTTATATGAATCACATGGCACACCATAATGTTTATTTTTTCCCAGTTTCGTCGGGGGGGGGGGCATTGTTGTCAAGTCACCGACTAGTCGTCCAGTCGTTTTTTGGATGGTGAATTGCTGGTCGCCTAGCGACTTGGCCGGACTAGTCGTCCGGGCGAGCAAAGCGACGACTAGTCGTGCCTAGGCGACGACTAGTCGGGGACGGAAACCTACCCAATATGACCCAACCCGACCCGACCCGGCCCAAATTTCATTAAATTTTAAAAAATACTCCTTAAAACATCGCATCTCTGCGTCTCTCGGTTCACTCGCACAATCTTGCAGTCGCCTCACTTCCAGGATCAATTTTCTGGAACGATTCTTCTTCATCTTCCCGGATTCACACGCTCTCTATCATCCTCCATGGGTAAGATCTCTATATCTTTAATTCTTTATCAATAAAGTATATTATACTCTTATTTTGGTTTAGTTTTCTTTAATTTGATTATATTATACCCTTAATTTTTTCAGTTTTCTTCAAAAATTTTTTGAGTTTCTTTCTTCCGAATGAAGATAGATAAAAAGGGCTGTTAGGACTTAGGAAAAGGGATGTATAGAGAAATCATCAGCAGACGAGAAGGAGGCAAGTAGACAACTGCCCTTTCAAGATACTCCCATCCCTCACCTTGCCCTTAACTTTTCAGTTTGCTTTTTTGCTGATTTCAGTTAATATTTGAGTCTTTTTTTGCTCATTTTAGTTTTTTAAGGGTAAGGACATGGAATTAAGTATTTTAATATGTTCTTTAACTTCTTTTTGTGCTTGTTATCTTTGTTGGTGTGTTGTTTTTGAAGATTGAAGGGTATTTGTTTCTTATGTATCCTTCGTTATGTTGACTGTATGTGCTACCTTTAAACATAATTTTCTTTTAGTAATGATATTTTGCCATATAAATATATATAGTTATCTATGGTCAATGTAGATATATATAATGTTAAAAATTTCAATACTAATTTTGATTTGTCGACTACGAGTCTCCTCTTCACCGACTCGACTCGACTTTACGACTTGATAACCATGGGGGGGGTCTCATAAACGGCCTCTCAATTTCCCAGGGTGAGTACGATAAACGTACATTACCTCTCCCCAAGCCCTACCTTGTGTAGAAGTCAATTGAGTTTGTTGTTTTTGTTTATGAGACTAAAAGTTGTGGCAACTTGTTTACGTCTTGAGTTCTATACGTTCTTTGCGTTTGTGTGCCTTTTGCTATCTTTGCTATATATGCCCTCTCTGATCTTATTTTATCTATGTTGTTTGAGCCGGGAGTCTTTTGGAAACAACCTCTCTACCTTCAAGTGGGGGCAAGGTCTGCGTACACACACCCTCCCCAGACCCTACTCTCATGGAATCCAACTGGGTTGTTGTAGTTGTCGTTTATGACATGAAAATTTCCATTTTTACTAATTATAAAAAAACAACCATTCTCTCGCTTTTATAGATAACCCTAACTTCCACATGCAAAAAATATTTAATGCTCATGAAGCCCGTGTATATTGGAAGAGGCTATTTTTAAGTGCTTTTGTCTGTGTTAGTTAATGTGTATATTTGCATAACTTTTTGCATAATTTGCAAAACTGGCAAGTTAACGTGTATCCTACTTTTGAAGGGATCTTGTTTGAGCTTTGGGGATTATGGAAGTTGGAGAAAGAATCCGATTCGCCTACCTCAACTATTCAGTAGAATGAACACTAAGAATAAAGATTTCAAGAGTGCTGCGCTCGAGAAAGATTTAGAACTCTTGTGGTACAATCTTTTGCGATCACTACGCATTTCATCTATCTCAAAAGGCATTTCGAGAAAGATCTAGAACTCAATCTCATAAAATGTCATGTGAAGCTTAGAGAAGTCTTTTTTCTTCAGCTACCTATTTGTTAATACTTTTCTCTTTTATACTTTTCTCTCTCTTTTATTTGCAAATACTTTTTCTCTCTCTTTACTATTTGCTCTTCATTTACTAGTGAACTAGCAATTAGTCAATGTAACTTTCGACGCTGATCATGGGTCATTTGGAATCAGCCGCCCTATGTTTTAGACATAGGGGTCAGGTTGCTTACATCCGACCCCCCTTACCCCGTAATGGGAGGGAGCCTTAGAGGCATCGGGGTAATGTTGTTGGTGTATTATGAAACTACATAATGTTGGAAATAGGGAAATTTTGTACCCTTCTCCAGTTTGATTTGTGGATTTATTTGAGAAAAAAAAACATATTCTTTGCAGCCAAGAAATAAATTTTGCAAACTGGGCTTCAGAAGGAGCAGTGAACTGGTTCATTGGTGAACTCTTTTCCCCTCATTTGGTTGGTAACCCGAATATTATTCTGTATTTTCCTTCTATTGATTAGTAGTAAGCATTTATAAGAACCAATGGTACTTAAGGTGGGTTTATTTCGATGGCAGACAAACTTGCTTGATTCTATCAAGTCACATCTGGAAAAATATGAGGAGATAGGGGAGTTGATTTGCTTATGTGTCAGAGAAGTGAGTATTGTGAAGGTGGCTACTCTGCTACACCTAGGAGGGAAAGGTTTGGTGGCTGTGGACTTTGCTCAGACACGCCAGTGTGTAGCGAATGAGATGGGGAAGTTGATTGACAAAGAGGTGCGACAGTTGGGCAAGTTCTCGGCTGATAAAGAAAAAATGGTGTTTATGTTGAGATTACTTGAAGTTTTTGAGAAGTTTGGTGGTACTCCCTACAAATTCATTCAGAGTGGACAAACATTTGTAAGTCGTGCTATGTATTTAGTTTATTTTATTATTTCGGTGATTTTTTTTTTGGGAGTTGGTTTTGCATTAGTTTAATTGTTTGTGATTTACCAACGGGGCTTGCACACCATTTTGTGTAGAAGCTGAAAGAAAAAGATCATCCGGAGATTGTACGCTTGCTTTCGGTTCCGGATATCACCTTCCCCTCCTCAAAACGGTATGGGAGATTTGTTTTGTATTGTTATCAAGTAATGACACATTGTTTAGTTTATGCAATGTTAAATTAGCGCTGTTGGCTACAGCTTTGAAGTTGTTTTTGGAAACAATCTCCAGTTGCCTAGGCTGTAAATTTAAAAATTGTCCATGAAACTTTTCGACCATATACAAATATATATTCATTACGATTTGAATAAGTGTAGTTAGTTTTATGTAGCAGTAGTAGTATTTTAAAACAGCTCAACTTTTGTCACTATCCATCCAGTGGTGGAATACAATGGAAATGGGAAATGGCAAGACCCTATAATATGTACAGGAAGGCCCTCCGTCCCATGCACACACTCTCGATTACCAGTGCCAGAATTGGTGGTGGTGTTTCATCCTTGTCCATGAGAACTGGTGCAACACAGCTAGTGGAGTGGAGGAGGAATTGGGCTCTCCTTGCAGGATCAGTCAGCAGGGCATTAAAACGTGTTTGACCGAGGTAGTAGGGTAAATAAGGCCATGAGCTATATATTGCTGCAACTGCTTGGTTTCTGTTTGTTTGTTTGTGTATTTACGTAATTGTTTTTGAATCTCATATAGCACAAGCCTGCTCCCAGAACCAAGAAATGTCAGCTCGTAAATGGGAACTTGTCCATAACAAACATCAACTTGACTGACGGGTTGTCCATGGCATGCATGCTNGAATGTCTATGTTTTCGTTGTAACTATGTGCTTTGCCTTGGATGTCTCTGGCTAATGAACCTTGCTCCCGTTGTAACTATGTTGTGTGTGTGTGTGTGTGTGTGTGTGTGTTCCAACTGAAATACTGTACAATTTCAGTTGCCTTGCTATGTTTGTATGCGTTTGAACTTTGGAGGTTGTGAAGAACCAGAGATTCCAAGTGATTGGCAAGTAAATTTACTTTCCTAGTATGGTACCATTGCCACACCATTTATTCCTGTTTCTAACCCTAGCCCTTTTCTTACCTCCCTTCTTGGAATAAATGCATGAATAACCTTGAGCTGAATATATTTTGGGGTTTTGGACAAAACGAAAAACTTAGTTGGCCGCATTTCAGATAATTCTTTCACCCTTGAGCTGAATTTTTTTTTACGGGATCTATTCGATTTTATTACTCATATTTTCCACTTCGACTACTTTCTGGGGAATCTGGCGGTTTTGAAACTAGGTAAGCTTTAAAAAAAATTATGTGGACATGACAATTTATTCAAGATTATTTAACAATCTTGAATAAATAATCCTGACATGTGGGTGGTTTTGGAAGATCGAGGCACGGTCTGAAGCTAAATAATCCTGATATATATAATAGCAAGAAAGGTAATAACCAAAAGTATAATAATTATTACTCCATGTAATTATTATCTATATAAATGGTAAGTGTCCGAAATTATAGTGTCCATTTTTAACCCGTGAACGAAATATGACCATTACATATGGTAATTTTGAAATTAAATGGTAAGTGTCCAAAATTAAAGTAATATAAAATCGTAATTGTGAAATTAATATAATTATTTTTTTTAAGTATGGTAAAAAATAATTATTTTTACAAGTGTCCAAAATTATGATATTAAGCACGCTATTAATGAAATCTAATTAAATATCATTTCAAATTAATTATAGTAATTTTAATTATAATAATTTTAATTAAAATTGTATATTACGTGTGATTACTGTGTCAAATTAATTATAGTAATTAAATGTTAGTTACCGTGTAAAATTAATTATATTAATTTCAAATATAGTAATTTTAATTAAGATTTTGTATTACGCAATTAAAAATCTAATATTACGTGTGACTACATAGTTGTATATTAATTACCGTGTCAAATTAATAATAGTAATTTTAAGTATCATAATTTTATAATGGCTATATTTTAATTATAGTGGATATATTTTATAATTGTAATATTTTAATATATTTTAATTATAGTAATTTTAATAAAAAAAAGATAATAATTAATTTTGCTTCTTTAAAATTTTGCTTTTCCAAAGTTGAGTTTTTAAATTTTTTAGACAATTTACTTCAATTTTGAAATTTGGGTTTAACATCTACGCTGTTTTGGTTGAATATTCATACTGATTCAATTTTCTTTTGAATGTTAGATGCTGAATTGGTAGAAAATATGATATGAAATACTTTTTATTTTAAAAAATCTGCGACATATTAACTTGACTTCCATGACTATCTACATATTTTTCAAAATATCTGTTTACTTGCGTCCAATTCAGAACTTCTTTCGATGACAGGCTCTTGAACTTCATGAAACTTATAAAAAGCACAACAATTCGTTACAGGACTACAGCTTCTTCCAATGCATAGGCAAACATACACGGGCTTCATGAGCATTAAATATTTTTTGCATGTGGAAGTTGGTGTTCTCTATAAAAGCAGAAGGGTTGTTCTTTATTTACTAGTAGAGGCGTGATGGAACAGTATAAAGGAGATGTGTTTGGAGACTAAGCCCTCATCTGTTTGCTATTGCAGATGATGCTTACAGGCAAGCAATTTCTCTGCCCATTTCGTTGTACTATATGATTTTTTTTATTCCTCTTATTAATGCAACATGAACTATCTCATGAACTTCTTGGTTTTGATATTTAAATAAGTTTGAATGTCTACTCTTAAGCACTGAATCATCTTCACTTTGATAGATTTGAGTGCAACAATTTAGAGCAAGTGCACCAACCCACCAGGGATCTATTATTTTCTTTTTTGGGTAAACTATCTCATTCTTCTTTTAAATTGTTGTAGATGAGCTAACTAGGAATGTATAGTGGTCCGTGGTGAATGTTTTTTGCTTAGTGGGCAAAAGCATGGAATGTTTACACACTAATTCAGAATTATGGAGACATGATACGGAGTATAAGATAAGTCAAAATGAGTACCTAGACCGGCTAGACTTTAAATATAGTACAATTAAAGTTAAAAAACACAGAGGGGTTAATGTATAGGGAAAGAACCATAAGCAAGTAGTTGTATTGAGATCCAAACTTTGCTTGCTGCTTTTTGTTTCAGTAGATGAAAATGAAGTCTTTTGTTTTTACTTTTTGTTTACGTTTTAGCTTCCAACAAATAATGAAGAATGGGTTCAAAATCATAGACAACTATATCAAGAAAAAAAAAGAACTAGTCCTCAGCACAAACAGAAAACAACTTCTGTCTTACCAATTGATATCTTTCTTCTGCATGCTTTCCAATTGTAGGATCATCACACATCCTCAAGAATGATGGCCACGAGAAACTACATAAAAACAAACAATTAGAACACAAATATAAATTGGTAACAATTCAACAATATCTCCCCCAAAAAAAGAAATGAAAATATTACTCTCCAAGAAGATTCTACAAGTTTGATTGGTTAAAAAAATATATTTCCAATAACATAAACATTGTGCAGTTAGGAACAACGTGAAAGTTCAACCTCTCAACATGGCTCACATCAGTGTCCTTGTCTTCCAAATAAAAGCCCGCTTCTTCAAGTATATGCACAATTTTCTCTTGTGGCATCTGCATCAAGTCGAAGAGGCAAATCTGCTCCATCAAATTATGCATGTCGTAGGAAAATACAAATATAAGATCATTTGGATTCACAATCTTGATTCCATGACTATTCTCCATTGACAAAAAAAACATGCAAGTTGGAAACTAACGGTGAACACTAACTTCCTTAAATGGCTCTCGCTCCCTTCAATTCAGCGTAACTTATTAAATCATGCATATCACCTCAAAGAAAAAATAAAGTAGAAAAACACATGCTCCCTTCATTCTAAAATGAATTTCTTATTCGCTATTTACAAGGCCAAACTTTATACACTTTGCCTATTCCCATTAACTAATATAGTCATGTCACCTCTTGCTTTGTAGAACTTCTGGTGTGGTTTTAAAAATTAATAAAAAAAACTATGTTTACCCTACATCCAATTTTCAGGCACAAAGCTGCTTGGAAACATCATCTTGGAACAGACGCAATACTTTAGCATATGCATCAACGGGATGATGATAAGTTTTTGCCTCTAATAATCCTTTTTATGGGCAACTTATATGAGGAAGTTTCCGAATCAAGGTTTAAAAAATGCAACTCTTACTCACAAAGAACACACACTGACACACACAGAGGCGATAAGTTCCAAGAAGGAAGAAAGAAATGCTTTTTAGTTCTATATTCAATAATAATCACAATATATTACAATTGCCTTCCTACGTAGAGGCTTATATTCCTAAACATAAAAGGAACTAGTTGAGAAAAAAACTCTTAACAGTGCTCCATATTTAACTGTGAACTAAATACTACTTGAAAAGAAAGGAATAACAATAGTAAACTAATACCGATATCGGAATGAACACGAGCTACACACAATTTAAAAAAATAAGAAATCCAAAGTCTAAAGCCATAGACATGGAGACATATACAGAATACGCTTTGTAGATGGTGATCTTCCAAACTGAAGATTTTGGGCACAAATATTCAACAAGAAAAACATGAATGGATAGAAAGGTGTCAAACACAAAATGACTGACACCAGAGAAATGAGAACAAAAGTGCAACCATAACACATGGTTCGTTCAATAGACAAGCTAAATCTGTTGATATCAGAATGAACACGGGCAACACAAAATTTAACGAACTTGATAAAATCGGAAAGAAAAAGAAAATAATAGGAATTTTCCATGCAAATTTATATTGAAAATCATCTCATGTACAAACCTGTGTTTTTAAATAGCTCTCGATAGTTTTGCCAGCCCTTTCAAAAATTTCAAGCAATAGCAGTGCCGATATCATCAGATTCTGTTTTTCCTTGCAGCAACTCAATAACTTACCATTTTCACAATGAAATTCCAGTTTCACTTCAAGAGCACTCAGTTGTCCTAGCTCGAAAACAATGAACTCCCGGAGAGACATGCAATGATCTAGATTTCTACAATCCTTTTCATTCAATGAAGAGGAATTCTTAACCAATGATGCAGAAGTAACCTTATCTCGGGCCACCAAAAGTAAGACAGCCAGCTCAACAAGCCTTCCATGCTTTATACAGGGAGTATAATGCCATGACATGATCACTTAAAGAAACATAGATTAGGGATTTAATAAACAAGCACAATACAAGTAAATTGGTGTTTTGACTTTAATTAAATGCCAGGAATAAGACAACAACCTTAACAAATGGAGTGAATAATTAAGAGGAAGCATCTGATCATGTTCTGATACACTATCCGTGAGCCTAACATCTGTTGGAGCTCCTTTTTCAAGGAATAATTTAACCAATTCAGGACAAGAAGCCAAAGTTGCCAAACACAGTGGAGTCAAACCCATCTTATCAACTTCATAAAAATCAATGTGATGCACGACTGAGGTTATGCATTTCACAGAATGAAGGATAATGAAACTTCTTAAAGGTTCTATGGGAAATCTCCAAGATTTCCCATCCCGTGGGTCGGTTGGTGTCGTAAGCCTTTCTAAGAATCTATCTCGATCATCAGCGCGTCCGATTTGAACAATTACGCAATCCACACTTCCACAACTGGATGAGGGAGAACATCGTGTATGATCCTGAGAAAGAACAATTTAAGGATAACACCTATCAGTATCATTAAGCACGGCTTCTATGAGGAACACTATGCGCAAAGAAAATTGTGGCATACACACACATACAAATATGTGTGTGTAACACTTGATGTTTACAATACTAGTATAATATTGATTTCTCTCACTCGGATTATTTTTATATGAAACCCACCGTTGGGATAGAAAGATATTAGCATATAGATCATCATTCCAAAATTTCATAGTAATCAAAAATCGTTTTAACACTAACCGCTTCTCCTTTTGTTGGGGGGATGAGCGGATCAATACCCTTATACCTGAAAACAAAATACGGATCTCCTCTTAGAGATTTATCAACTAAATCCTCATAGGTAAGCTTTAAGATATCCCGTTTTCTAATAAGATTGCCATCTTCACCATCGAGGCCTAAATTTGCCTCCAACCTATGTACATTCGCCGGGTAATGAGCCAAATTGCCCTCCCGGTAGATGGCTTCGCACGTCAAGTGTCGGAACTGCCGCATAATATCGAAAATGTCACTGCACAAATAACAAGTAAACACGTTAAATAAATACGAGTACAGTTATAACGATACAAAAGGAGCATCCTCAAAAGAACTATAAGTATTCATATATAAATTACCTCCAGAACGTAAAAAGTGCTAAATCGGCAGTAACGGCAAACTTCTTAAGACGTCGAATGTGAGTCTCAGAATCAGACAAATGTAGAACTTTTAAGTTGTTCATGTTTTGGTTCATTAGAGACTGGAGGCTAAATTTGGAGGCCAAAGATTCGGCTTCATGTATGTTCTTCGCCGTAATCTGCTGGGATAAGTTCTGTTCCATCCATCCCAAGCCATGAACATGATTCAGAATAACAGCCCCTATAAAAAAACACTAGAGCCGCTCTCACTGGCAGACGCATCTGTGTACAAAACCACCTCATAGTCATCACTAATAGGTTCAAAGAAGCACTTCGGTGGGTATTGTACCAACACCTACGACTCAAGCCTATGAGTATAGTCATTGTAGTCGACCATAACATTCTTTTCTGTCAGAAATTCAAAGACTAAATCTTTGAGGTGTCCTGGTGTCTGCTTAAGGAGAGCATAGAGGTCAACCTTAGAGAGATAAACAGCTTTATGCTTTTCAGACGGGGGTAGAGCAGGAAATGGGTGTTTAGATGATGGCATGGCGATGAAATCGTCAATGATTTTCCTAATGGCGCTGTTTTGGTAGAAATCTGAGCGCGCATTGGTTTTCGAGCTCAGATGCCTAACCAACCTTGAAATCAAATACATCTATAAAGAAAGAGGAGGGTTAGAGACTCAGCTGAACGGCTTGGTAGAACTGAAAGCAGGAAAACTCCGGTGCTCGTGGCCGGCCTAAACCCTCCTACGCCGAATCGGCGGTAAAGGGAGGTTAAACTTTTCGTTTTCCCCTCGCTGCCCTTCTCCAATTGAAGAAGACCCGCTGCACTTCCCCGCTGAAGAAGATTGGGGATTTCGCAAACCAGCGCCAATTGGGGCAATTGGTGAGTCGGAGATGACAGGAGACAATTGTAAGGAGTGCGTGACCTTACCCTCGCTGAAGGATGCCGGAATTGAAGAAGACCCGCTGGCGGACTATGAAATAGGTCTTGAATTTGCTGTTTTTTTATGTTTTGTTTTTCAGTTTTTTGGTTTTTTTTTTGCCGTTTTCCCCTTTACTTGTTTTATTTTTTGTGAATTTTTTGTTTTTTGAGTAAAAATAATAAGGGTATTTCAGTAAATTTATTATTTTACCTACCTCACATTACCTAATAAATATCCAAACACAATTTTTCAATTCATTACCTCACTCTACCTGCCTTTCATTACCTACCTTACATTTACTCTTATTACCTACCTAATAAAACTTATCCTACCTCCAACCAAACATAGCCTTAGCTCTCTCTAATTTACTGGTGGGGGTAAACCGTAATGGAACACCCAAAATTTTACTGAGTACTCTAAGTACATTTTTGGGCTTCTCCATTTACAATGAGACCTGTCAATCGGGTCAATCGGTTAGGTTCCCATTCGATTATTATTATTACTAGTACTTCACCCGTGCGATGCACGGAAAAGTACATTTCTAAATAAAATGCAAAAGTTATAGAAATGTAAATATTATTAACATGAAAAAACAAATAAATTAGTAATTAAGTTGGTATAGTTTTGACTTCTATTTATCTAATTATTAAGGTCTTAGACAAACATGTTATGGAGACATATGTATGAACAAATCGATTAAAATATTAGAATGAGTAAATTAAGATCGAGGAATATAAGAGTCTGGCCCCAATTATAAATTTGGAATTACCGATATTGAAAAGGTGACATTATAATAAAAATAAGTTGAATTTCATAAAACTCAAATATTCATAAAAACCTCTTTATACACAACAATTGTAGTCTCCCAATCTGGTTTATCTTGATCGTTACATATCAAAATCCTCAACCCCAAAGGATTTCTAACTGAAAAAAAGAACTTCAAACAAAACGTCAAAACTTATGTCCAAAAAAATAATACTCGTAATATAAAAAAATTATGGATAATTCTACAATGGCAATCATATGTTAAGAAAGAATCAATTGTTGTTTTTAATTAATTCAAAGTAAAACTTGTAAGAAAACCGGTAAAAAATTACTTTTGTTTATCTTATATACGTCCTTCAAGATTTACTCACTCCAAATCTATTTGCACTACAAGAAATTTGATATTTTGTCGCACTTAAAATGGTGGTTTGCCACACTTATAAATGTGGAAAAAACACTTTGCCACACATGACCTAAGTGCGGCTACCTAATTGTGGGCAATTTTTAACCACACTTTTAGATAAGTGTGGCTAATTAATATTTTACCAACACTTAATATGTGCGGGTAATAATTTTATTCGCAACACTTACATGTGTTGGGAACGCACCACACATATAAGTGTCGCAAATATCAATTTTAAAAAATAAAAAAAAACTATATGCACACAAATAAGTGTGGCAAATGATCGACCAAGTAACTAACTTTTATATCAATTGCAACTACTTTCATATCAACTGCACACGACACTCTAAAGAAAAGAAAAATTTATTAGAAAGAGAGTGATATGACCAGACATCCCAAAGTGACCAAGGAGTCCTAGCCAAATGTTACTGAACAAAAAATTATAATGATCAACAAATTGTAAACATCCAAAATCCCAATAGCGAGTTTGACAGATCATGTGTTGTGTTCCAAATTGCATAACCATATTCTGGTTCAAAACTAAATGAAAGTAATACATTACAAACGAAGCATCAGTCAATTGTAGATGAGCTCAGCATCTCAACTCCAACACATGCTGTTGTTTTAATTAGGAACTACCAGACGATCCACAAGTCAAACCATAGCAAATCTCAAAGTCATTTTTTAAGAACCAAGAAGGAAGTGTTCATTTGCAGAACTCTGGTAGATGGTAACTTTGAGATGTTTTATTGTTCTGATTCTGAATATACACGCCTTTAGCCAAAATGCAAAATCATAGCTATCCATGGCGTTGCATGTTACCCTCTCCATCATAAAAAGCCGAGTCTTTCTCGCAATGAATGAATTGTTATAAGCCATTTGAAGCCATGTCTGCAAGGCATGACGTGCAAAAGAAACAAAAATATAATATATTAGAATGACATATGAGTAAATGGTATTACCTCCATCCAAAACACAACCATGTTGTTCTAATGACCAAGTGATATAGCAGAAGTCCAAGGTAAATACCAAAACCATCGTCCCATTCTTTAAACCTATTGAAGCCATACAATGTAAAAAGACAAGCAAAACCAGTAACCAAAGTAAGGGCCAAGGCCTGAAGAAACCGATTGTGTTGATCTAACAACATATTGAATTGATAAAAAACTGTTTAGCTATTGATTCTCAACCATAAATGAGTAGTGTGCACTCAGTATACTTATACTCATGACCAATCTCAAGCATATCCAAAGATAGGTTCCAAAGGATATCTAATGTGCTCAAGCCTCTGCACCTCAAAATGATATAAACCAGTAGATAGAAAATGAGAAGTCTCCCTCAGATCTTTAGAGTTTTTATTCCTGAAAGTGATAAAATCAAATATAAGACTTATTGCATGCTGAACCAAATGCAAACAAAAATCTAGATAATAATATTTCATTATATGCAATGACTTAGCTTTGAGTTATCATTCCATAATTGTAAAAAACACTCTAATCATATTTTACATCAACTAAGTACACTTGTATTGAAATTGTAAATATCGGTCAATATGAGAATTTTAAGAATAAGAGGGTACCTGAATTGTTATTTGCACATTATTTGCCTCATAGAATTCCAAAACCCTTGGCAAAGACCCTAGCAAGCCAGTCTTTGCCCTAGTGTAATAAACTGTCTCGTGTCCATCTGAACCAAAGGTCCCTGCAACGTCTCACCTAGTCCAAACCTAGCCACCCAATCATAACTCACCTAGACCATGGCCATACACCCCTAGTCCGAGCCCCCCACCAGCCTTGATTTGTCTCTGGCTCGTCCTTGACAATCCGATTGTTCAGTGTCCGTCCGTCAACCTTAGATTCCCCTAAAATCTAAAAACAAATTTATAAAACTGCAGACATTCTTTTCATGAAAATGATCAAAATAAAACACCTACCTCAAGAAAAGAGAAGCAGAACTGGCACTTGAGCTCTTTGTCAGCATGTTTAATTTGCTCCTAAAGAACAAAATTAAATCTCCTTATGCCAAATTGAATAACATATCACAAACTTAAAGTTACAAAAAAAATCTAAGTAGTTCAATTCTTGTAAAAAAAGGTGCTCGAAAACACGCTGTGTCAGGCCTTAGCTCGAAAACACATACATTTTTTATTAATCTTCATCATCTCTAATTGCACCTGTCTCACAAAGAGAAAAAAACTATTAGAATTTTGGAGATCATATATTCCGTCTTATTAGCCAAGAAAAGTGGGGTAGCAACTTCAGCAAGTATAGCTCTAAAAATACATTGGTGTAAAAGTACCTTTATCAAGTGTTGTTACGTAGTGCCAACAATAGCCAAGTAGAGCTCTTGAAAAACATTTGTGGATACGTACATTACTAAAGCTTTCAACTTCAACTTGACAGTAACTCACAATGCCCCCTCTATAATCTGTAAAAAAATGGAAAGGTGAGGCAGTGAAGAGGGGACATAATAAAGGTTCCAAATACCTCAGGGAAAAAACTCCAGTAACTTCTCCATTCATTTTTGTAGTTGTCTAGATAACCTGTCCTGTTTTGTTTGGCAAGGAACAAAATGATATGGTGTACCAATATGAAACTTCTCATAGTAATAGAGCAATCATTCAATAAATGAAAAAAACCACCCAAATCTGACTAAAAGAGAACCTTATGGCCAGATATGAGACCTCTAAAATAGTCCAAAATGAAACTAAGACTAATTGCCACCCTAAAGCAATCCATGGTTTTAGGTAGTCTTGAGGTTATATGAAGTTGCATATTAACCTATTAACCACGCTACATATTGTCTTTGAACCTATACTGATCAAAACTGTAAAGAAAAAGTAGAAAAGCTAGAAAAAATGTTAGCCCATTATCAAAGGATCAAATTAGGTGGGAAAGTGTACCTGTACCTAACATTGAACCAAGGAATCATTGCCTACTTCAATAGAAATGGTATCCATCATGGCATAAGCAGGAAATCTGGGAATTTGGCTCTTTATATACAAAGGTCTCTACAATCCCAACCGTCACTAACTCAAAACTGTCAATTAACTCAAATTAACCATGAAACTTTAAATCCACTAAATCCATCAAGTTGAGTTTTGTTTACCCTAAAAACTGAAATTAGTTGAATTTCATTTACCTTAAATTCAGCCAATGGCGAAGGAAGGGGCGGATGATTGTAGTCAGCCATCTGGCGCAGCCTAGGGACAATGGCGAAGTTCTCAATTAAATACAAAATCATAAAATTTTGCTTAAATTTTAACCATAACATATAATTATCAATTATGACTTTGAATCTGTCCAAAATCCTAAAACATATACAATGAACCGAAATTGAACAGAGACTAAGAAGAAGAAAATACAGAACAATATCAATTTAGAGTTTATACCCACAAATAACCATAGGCGCCTGATTTTTTTCTTAGATTGGCGTTGTAATCGCCATTGAATCATCGTCGGGAATCGCTGGTCGCCACTCCATACTATCGTTGCTCCCTGCCTCATCCTTGTCGCTGATCGCGTCATCGTCAATAGTGCCGGCGGCGACGTCTCTTACCGCGACTGCTATATGTTTTTGTTGTGTGTCCGATGGATGAAGAATCGATCTGATCTGCAATTTGCAATTTTCAATTTGTGGATATGTGAATTTGATGCTTGAGTTTAATTTCAGAGAGAGTGATGTGGTGGCCTCGGTGTAAAATCTCCCTAAAAGGAGAGACGGATCAAACTACGGAGTATTAATGAAATGGGTTAAACTTTTTATTTTTTGGTAGTATATTGAGTTATTGGATTACGCCATTACGGAGTAGTTTTTGTCATAGCAACACTTGTATGTGCGAAAACGCTAAATACGAGTAACTGTTAGCTTTTAGCCCCAATGAGACCTGTGAATCGGGTCAATCGGTTAGGTTGCTATTTGATTATTATTATTACTAGTACTTCACCCGTGCGATGCACGGAAAAGTACATTTCTAAATAAAATGCAAAAGTTATAGAAATGTAAATATTATTAACATGAAAAAAACAAATAAATTAGTAATTAAATTGGTATAGTTTTGACTTCTATTTATCTAATTATTAAGGTCTTAGACAAACGTGTTATGGAGACATATGTATGAACAAATCGATTAAAATATTAGAATGAGTAAATTAAGATCGAGGAATATAAGAGTCTGGCCCCAATTATAAATTTGGAATTATCGATATTGAAAAGGGGACATTATAATAAAAATAAGTTGAATTTCATAAAACTCAAATATTCATAAAAACCTCTTTATACACAACAATCGTAGTCTCCCAATCTGGTTTATCTTGATCGTTACATATCAAAATCCTCAACCTCAAAGGACTTCTAACTGAAAAAAAGAACTTCAAACAAAACGTCAAAACTTATGTCCAAAAAAATAATACTCGTAATACAAAAAAATTATGGATAATTCTACAATGGTAATCATATGTTAAGAAAGAATCAATTGTTGTTTTTAATTAATTCAAAGTAAAACTTGTAAGAAAACCGGTAAAAAAATTACTTTTGTTTATCTTATATACGTCCTTCAAGATTTACTCAATCCAAATCTATTTGTTTCCATAGAAGAAGTGGTGCCTACTGCAAAGAGTTTTGCCCCATTTTGCTGAAAGTTACCCAAAGCAATTAAGAAATTCAGAACAATCAACACTTATCATTGGGTAATTTTAAACTTATCTTAAATTAGGATTCAAGTTTCTTACTGCTATAGCACCAAATCTCTGCAACAATGAAAATGATGTTCCAAACAGAGCAACCTACGAAAAATACAACCAATCATCAAATTTATGACTTCATTATTCAAGAAATTAGATGTTTCAGAAAAAAAAAATCCATAAAAAGCAAGAGATACATTTATTGAAAAATAGTTACCTAGAATGCATTTTCAGGACAATTGTAGAAAAACTTAGTAAGAGTTGCAGTATTTAGTGCAATAGGAGGTCGGAGAGATACAGTAGGGGCGTAAAGGTACATGAGCATAAATCTGCAATAATGGCCATTACCTAAGCACAATAAAACATAATATAAGGTTGAGACTAAAGTAATGAACCACAAATCCCCAATGCTCTACTTTTATTATTCAGATATTTCTTTGTGGTAAGCTACATTGTTCAATACATACCAGCCTTATACTCCCTCTGTCCAAAAAAAGAACTTCCCGGTTTGACCCGCCACGCAAATTTATGTGTTATAAAAATTGTATTGACATTTCCCCTTATACCCCTCAACCTAGTTGCCCTCTCCACCGTCATAAGCCATCTACCGGTGTTGCCAACGCCGGCGGCGGTTCACCGACCGACTGTTCTTCGGCACCACTGCCGATGTTCTTGTCATCGCCACTCTCCCACCCCCACCGTCGCAGACCTTACGCTGTCATAGATCTATTCCAGGTCTTCTCGTTGAAGACAGTCATTGAACACAACCCGCAAGCCCTCCTCGCAGATCTGTTCTAGGACTTCTCGTTGAAGGCAACCACCCCCCGCCATCACAACCTTCTGTCATCGCAAATCTATTTTAGGACTTGTTGATTTCCCTGCAGATCTGAAGAAAAAAAGACTTTTGTCAATTTTTGTCTTTGTACACTTCTAGATCTGGTCAAATCTGAGAGCTCTTTCCAAATCGTGGGTGAAATCGGAAGGGGGAGGGAGAATGAATAACAAAGAAGAAGAAGAAGAAGAAGAAGAAGAAAATTGGTGTGGTATGAACAAATTGAAAGGAGTGGAGTGGATTAGGGGAAGGAGAATGAAAGAAAGAAAGAAGAAAAAGAGATGAGTGACTTGACGCCTGGACGGAAGAAGAAAAAAAAAAGAATGGGCAGATCGGAGAAAGAAGAAAAGGAAAAGAAGTGGGTGGCTTGGATGGTTGAGGGTAGTTTAGTCATTTTAACATAAAAAAGTTACCAAATAAGGAAATGAGAAGTTTATTTGTGGACATCCCAAATAGGAAAGTGGGAAGTTCTTTTATGGACGGAGGGAGTATCACACATATGCAGGGGCATATGAACCCATTTGTTCCAGAAATTCAGTTCCATAAGTAAAAACATAATTAAGACTAAAACATGTTCCATTTACAAAAATAGGACATTCAATCAATGTTTTATACCAAAATACGAATTATAATGCCGAATAATGCAAAAACATATTCCACAAAAACACTGTAAAATACCAACAAAATGCCAAATTAAGGCATTTCACAGTTCCAACACTCCTGTTTAGGGTGTAAAACATAGATCTTATTTTGATATAAGTTCCATATTTTAATCTTATTTAAGTAGATTTATTTGAGAAAAATGAGTAGAGGAATGATCATATAAATAAGATTTGTGGTCTCCCTTCAGGTTAATCCAACTTTTGTTATTCAAAAAAAGACACTTTGCCTTCTCTGTCATCCATCAAATTTGAAAATGTATGCATACTTGCACACACCCCCTAAAAGATGATTGGCCTCCAAAAAAATCATTTAAAGGTAACAATAATATTTCTAATGAAGCTTTTTCAAATTGAGAACAAATATTTGCAGCAATCTTACCCCACAAATAGCTCGACAATTGATTCAGTTTTGATCTGAGTTATGCTCTCGTGGTTCTCAAGGGTTTTGCTGACAAAAGAAACCATCTCAAGACATTCAACCCAGTCATCGTCCCTTAAAACAATATTGACTAACCCAAATGATGTCCATTCTGGTGATTTCATAGTCATCTCCAAAATCCGTGGCCTGTGGGGTGGGTTTGAAACACTTGATAAATGGGTAAGTGGAGCATTTGCAGGACATACTGCAGTTTGTTTGAAAGACGAGCACGGAAAACTTTGGTCCGATGAAAATGTAAGCTGAAAAATGTTTTCCATTTATCACTCTCAATGTTTTCTTTTTAACAAAAGTGTGGATTTTTGAGTTTTGCAGGTTTTCTGTGCAGGAGTAAAAGAAATTCTGCAATCTACCCATTAAAGAAGCAGACATTGGGCTTGCAGAAAGTAGAAAGATTGGGGAACTAAACCATACCTTCAAACACCATCTTTATTCTTTGGCTGCTTATATGTTGGATGTCTTGCCTGCTATACCTGAAACTATTCCAGTCATACATATTGTGCAACTCAACTTCAGAAAACAAAATAAATAGGGATTAAGACATACCTGATTCCCAAATACGCAACATACTTGTGGCATAGGCAGAAGCTGGAGAGACAATTGTAGAGGCCTATGCAATTCTGTTCCCAGGGGAGTATGGAAACCCTACAGTCAAATCGAGAATGAAGACTTCGAAACCGTTTGAAAATAAATGAACTTGTCTTTCGCCTTAGCCAAAATGTCGTGATAGATTATGTAACTGTAAGTAGAACGGACGGCTAGATTTCTTCAATTGCGGTAAAATTGGAATGTTGGATTGAGCAAAAAGTGGACTTCAATTACAATTCTACTTTTATATATGTAATAGAAATTTAAAAATGATTTCAAGAGAATTAAATAGCACTTTAAACAATGAACTATCTACAAACACAGACCAAATGTATTACACTTCTATCAACAAACCCTCTTGAGCAAAGGAAAAAATTACTCCATATGTCCCAAATTCATCTTCCCACCCACTTCCCAAGGTAGGATATTTCAAAATCATCTTTTCATTTCCTTTCACTCAATCTCTATGCCATTTTTTACATGGGAGATGATTTTGAGATGGAGTAGCAATTGAAAACTGAAACTAATGCAACAGGTTTAAATTGTTTGTTAACAAAAATTATGTTTGGTACAAAACAGAAAATGTTAAGAAAAATATGATGCTTGACAGGTTAAGGAATACCTTACCCCACACTTTGGTGAATAACTTTTCATTGCTTATAATTGGTGCTTGACAGGTTAAGGAATACCTTACCCCACACTTCGGTGAATAACTTTTCATTGCTTATAACGTTTTTAGCATCTTTGCTTATAGTTTTTTAAATAAATGTTTAAAAAATGTGCTAAATTGGCTGCAAGTAAACACAAATTAAAAATTACATTTAAAAAAATGGAGTGTGTTACAAACTGCACCAGCGCTATTTCACAGATCTGATCTTAAAAATTTGAGCCTATTAGAAACAGTAAAAATCAGTGTCTAACCGTCTAAAAATACGGAATCTAAAGTAAATATAGTAATTAAGTTCGGCATCATCTGAAAAACAGAAAAACACATATGAATGGAAATATTGAAAACATGAACATTACTCGTATCTCAGCATATGAAGATGCATAAACACTCTTAAAGGATAGTATATTGCCGAAATTCGGAGAAACAACTTTAATTTCTCTTCTTTTTCTCATCGCACAACACAAGGCATTTTTCATAAGTTGATATTTAGAATTTGGAGATTTTTTTTCTTTTTAAAAAAAAGATAAATTGCAAGTATTAAAGAATCAAAGGCCAATCACACAACAAACACATAAATACTGACCTCATCAAATTCATTTCCTAGCAGCATTTAACCAAATTTGCCAATGAAAAATTGTAAAGCTAATGTGCAAACATTTGATAGAATAGAAAGAAAAAACAAGTACTTACAAGCCATTCCCGATGATACTTTAATGTTGGAAGGGAGCAGACATAGTTGTGCTTTTTATAAGTTTCGTGAAGTCCAAGAGCCTGTCATCGAAAGAAGTTCTGAATTGGATGCAAGTAAACAGATATTTTGAAAAATATGTAGATAGTCATGGAAGTCAAGTTAATATGTCGCAGATTTTTTAAAATAAAAAGTATTTCATATCATATTTTCTACCAATTCAGCATCTAAAATTCAAAAGAAAATTGAATCAGTATGAATATTCAACCAAAACAGCGTAGATGTTAAACCCAAATTTCAAAATTGAAGTAAATTGTCTAAAAAATTTAAAAACTCAACTTCGGAAAAGCAAAATTTTAAAGAAGAAGATCTACTTACAGAATTCGCTGATGCTAGACACCGAATATATCCTTAATCTTAAGACCAGGACGTTGTTATCGCTAGGTGTGCCGCCATCCTCTTCTTCATCCAACGATGGGTTTTTTGTCTGCGATTGGGTCAGAGGAGCAGGATACCGATTGAGGTCGGCAGTTGAATATACTATGAGAAGTTTTTAATCACTACCTCTTCCTAACAACATGCTTTCCTTTCTCCGTCACAAAATAGCCTCATTTCCTTTTTGGTAATGAATATAGTTCTACCATTCTCTCCCTCTTTCAAATCAATTACAATATAAATTTCTTATTCTATCAAATCAGACTTTTAATTTGGGACTAAGGGAGTAGGTTAAATAGATTCAGTAATTTGTAAGGACAATGATGAATTTGCCTTCAAAACAAGCCATTAAAAATGGTATTCACCATCTATTCGAAATGTATCCATCCAAATCCATTTAGAGCACCTCTTGTAGGAGAAATGGACAAATTTGTTCAAAATCATTTCTATATCAAAAAAATTAAAGACCTAGTCCTCAGCACAAACAGAAAACAACTTGTCTTACCAATTGATTGGGTTTTTCTGCATGCTTTCCAATTGTAGGAACGCTACACATCATCAAGAATGATGGCCACAAGAAACTACATAAGCACAAAAAATAGAATATAAATAAAAATGGTTACAATTTAACACTATCTCCCAAAAATATGAAAAAAGAAAATATTACTAACAAGTAACGCTACAAGTTTGATTGGTTAAAGAGATATATTTCAAATAACATAAACATTGTGCAGTTCAGAACAACATGAAAGTTCAACCTCTCAACATGGCTCATATCAGTGTCCCTGTCTTCCAAATAAAAGCCCGCTTTTTCAAGTATTTGCACAATTTTCTCTTGTGGCATCTGCATCAAGTCGAAGAGGCAATTCTGCTACATCAAAATATGCATCTCGTAGGAAAATACATATATAAGATCATTTGGATTCACAATCTTGATTCCATGACTATTCTCCATTGACAAAAAAAACATGAAAGTTGGAAACTAACTGTGAACACGAACTTCATGAAATGGTTCTCGCTCCCTTCAATTCAGGGTATCTTAATAAAGCATGCATATCACCTCAAAGAAAAAATAAAGTAAAAAAACACATGCTCCCTTCATTCTAAAATGAATTCTTATTCACTATTTACAAGGCCAAACTTTATACACATTGCCTATTCCCATTACTCGTTTGATTAATTAATATAGTCACGTCACATCTTGCTTTGTAGAACTTCCAGTGTGATTTTTAAATTTTAAAAAATTATGTTTACCCTACATCCAGTTTTCAGGCACAAAACTGCTTGGAAACATCATCTTGGAACAGACAATACTTTAGCATATACATTAACGGGATGATGACAAATTTTTTCCTCTAATAATCCTTGTCATGTGCAAGTTATATGAGGAAGTATTCCGACTCAAGGTTTAAATAATGTAACTCTTAATCACAAACACACACACACACAGGCGATAAGTTCCAAGAAGGAAGAAAGAAATGTGTTTTAGTTCTATATTCAATAATAATCACAATATATTACAATTGCCTTCCTACGTAGAGACTAGAGAGGCTTATCGATACGAACCCTGATGCGGGTCAGATTGGGTCAGGTTTTAATCAGCTGCTGGGGGTTTTAATTAACACAGTTAATTAGGGAAGTGGAGTAGGGCCGAAGTGGATTTCGTGGGGAAGTGGGGCTGAATATTAGGGATAGTAACTGCCATTAATTTACATTTAAATATTCTATTCCCTGTTTGGTTGGAAAGAGGTCTTGATCATGTTTGAATAGTTGTCTTTTGTATTTGGGGAGTTAATCCTTCTCGAATTGGATTACAATCTGCAGCCATAGTTATCAATTCCATCTTTTATTTCCTTTTGATTTTCTAGGTTCTATATCTATCACTTATATTCCTAAACATAAAAGGAACTAGTTGAGAAAAAAAACTCTTAACAGTACTCCGTACTTAACTGTGAACTAAATACTACTTGAAAAGAAAGGAATAACACTAGTAAACTACTACTGCTGCTGCTGATATCGGAATGAACATGAGCAACACACAATAAAAAAAATACGTATACGAAGAAATCCAAAGTCTAAAGCCATAGACAAGGAGACATATACAGAATACGCTTTGTAGATGGTGATCTTCCAAACTGAAGATTTTGTCAAGGAACCAACTCAACCATAACACATGGTTCGTTCAATAGACAAGCTAGATCTGTTGATATCAGAATGAACATGAGCAACACAAAATTTAACAAACTTGATAAAATCGTAAAGAAAAAGAAAATAATAGGAATTTTCCATGCAAACTTATAT